ACTCCTCACACTGGGTTTTAGGCATGTGGGAGGGGTGGGTAGACACTTGTTGTCCTCATGGTTGCTGAATTCTTCTCCTGAAGCCACCTTCCGTGGTGGTTTTGGCGTTTGTCCTGCATGCCCCTCACCAAACTCCAGAAACATGTGATGAACAAGATCAATACAACCCAGGATACAACCCAGCTCACTTTCTCCCAAGGAAAATGCTTCCCAGAGGCCCAGCTGCCTTCCAGCCACAAATCTCAGGAGAAAGGTTGGCTTTGGACCCCAAATTACGTCCCTGAGTCAGTGAACAAAACATCAAGGGGCTGCAGTGTGGATCACATCCTTTGTAGCACCCAGAAATCAAAATGTTCCTCTACCACAGAGTAGACATCTTTAGGCTGGAAAATCTTAGGAAATTTCCCCAGATTTCTTGCCCTGGTCCACCCTTCCCTGCCAGATGTCAGGAGGATTTGGTAAGCACATGGCTCCTTGCCAAATATTATTGAGGGAACCCTGTATGTCCTGCAAGTTAAGGTTTCCTTCACGGAAACCAAGCTCCACTCTCCTTCCCATGTGGAACCTTTTGCTCCTGAAGGCAGGAGTTCAGCCTGGTAACCCCCAGAAATTCTCTTCCCATTCCCACAGGCCCTCCTGGGACACAAGGAGATACCTTGACATCAAGAAGGAATTTGATGGTGCTGCTGCTCTGACTCCAAGTGTGGGAAACCACAAAAAAAAGCAGCAAGAATTTTGGGGAAGGGCAGTGCGAGTATCTCATTTGTGCTCCATTATCCTGCTGCACCAGGAGGATCACTCTGTGGAGGGGATGCAGGGGACAGATCACCCCCAGGGTTTGGGGACAGGGTCCTCAGCCAAAACCTTGGGCCACTTTTGGGACTTGCCAGCAGACGAGGCGCTGGCAGAGAGGAGCCAACGCTGGCACTGAGGTTTCACTTCGGGGAGGTGACAGAGAGGAACCCAAGTGAACAGAAACCAACGAAAGTATTTGAGTCACCAGTCGCCCAAAACCACCAAGGCAGGGCACAGCTGCAGCAGCAGCTCCCTGGAGCTGCCTAGGGCCCAGAAAGGTGCAGGGATGTGTGCCAGGATGCAGGCACTGCCTCTGGATTGGGGCTCTTCCAGACCCCACCAGCCTCCCAGCTGGGGATGGCAGTGCCATTCCTGCCTGGCCCGCAGGAAAAGTGAGAGACGTGCAGGAATTCCTTCTGGAATGTCACAAAAGGCACGGTGACTCTGGGCCAGAGCACCCCTGTGTGAAATCAATGCACTGACCTGGAAATCTGTGCTGGAACGTCAGCCTTGGAGGCTTCCTCATGATGGATTGCAGGATGGGAAACCCAGGCTAGGCCTAAACCCAAGATAAACCCAGGCATTAAACCTAAGCTAACATTTCTGTGAGCCCTAGCTGAGCCCAAACAGGACCCCTGCCCACAACCATGTGCCCACCCCATTACCCTTCCTGCAACCACTCTCTCCTTCCCACTCCCTCCCCACCCACCAGCCATTTCCTCTTGGAATCTCTGTGGGGTGGAAGCCATGGTGCTGGTGGAGGTCCCAAACCGAGCTGTGGGCTCTGAGACACGCTGACAGCACCAAAAATAACCAGTGCAGCACAAGGCACCTCAGCTCCCCACGGCCCTGCCGCGGTCTGGGGTGGAAATTGAAAGAGCCCTGGGCAGGAGCAGGTGGCTCCAGGCAGGCACAAGGTGGTGGTTTCTGGGGAAGGACCTGGCCCTGCACATCTGGGGAAACCACGAGTGGGGTTTCTGGTGTCCCAGGCTCCGATCCCTCATGAGCTGCTCCAGCACAGCCCACAGAGGGTGCCTCGGTCCCACCTCCACCTTGCAATGTTCAACACCAAGGACACTTTTTGGGAGCCCATGCCTGGTGCCTCAGGTTTTTTTATCTTATATTTTTCACATTCTGTGCTGCTTTAATGTGCAGGCCTGAGCTTCACATCAGGGCATGGTGAGCTCTGTGCACAGAGCAGGGACACAAAACAATTCCTGCTCCAGCTGGGCACCAAGGACAAATGATCCAAATCTCAGCCCCAAGAGCACAAACCCCATGGGCTGGAGAGAGAAAAACAAGCAGGATGGGAGTGCAGGGGCTGAGCTGGAATTGGACACTGAACTGCAATGTGCACATGGAGCAGAGCTGATCCCAGGGAGAGACCCCGTGAGCGCTCGTGCATTTTGGGACCATTTTGGTTCATCTTGGGACCATTTGGATCCATCTTGTGTTCATTTTGGGACCATTTGGGTTCACCTTGGGTTCATTTTGGGACCATTTTGGTTCATCCTGGGTGCAGCCCTGGCTGGGCTCTTGTGCTGCCCAAGGTGGATCCATTGAGGAGATCCTTTGAATAAATCCCTTCTTGATTCCTTAGCTCGGCCCAGCCTCTGCTCTAGCTCAGCCTTCCCAAGGCATCACAGGAGGTGAGGCTCCCTGACCCTCTGGGGGAGCAGGGAGGGCTGGAGCAGGGGTCAAGCCCGTGGGATGCTCAGGAAGAGCAGAGAAAGGCTGAGCAGCGCTCACAGTGCCCCTACAGGTGCCATCCCCCTCCCAGTGGCACAGCACCCCATAGCAGCTTACAGGAGTCGGGGTCTCCTTTGCCCTTTAGGATCCTGGTGCATCCTAAAAAACCCTCGGTGTGCAGCCAGTTCTTCTCACAGGCACCAAATGCAGGTGCTGCAATGCCTGCAGAGGATGTGCACAAGGGCACAGGCAGGACCATGAGCATCCCACCAACAGGGATGGGGCAAGGATGGAGGAATTCCCTCAATCCTCATGCTTGATCTCAAAGTTCAAGCTGGTTCACCCCCCTAGAGCAGAACCCTGAGAAATTTGGATGGAGAAGTGTTTTATTGCACTAAATAGTTACTTAAAACAACTAAATAACTATTCAGTGCAATACAACAGAGAAGTGTCCTGGTTTCTGCTGGGATAGTGCTCATTTTCTTCTCAGTAGGGATGAGCAATTGCATCACCTGCTTCCCTTCACTTTTACTCTTCTCTGCCTTTCATTACAATTACTATACTTGATATTTTTGTAATTAGAATGCCTGAATGGTTTGTGCTGGAAGGGACCTTAAAATTCAATTCATTCCACCCCCTGCCATGGGCAGCACACCTTCCACTGTCCCAGATTGCTCCAAGCACCACCAAACCTTGCCTTGAGTATTTCAAGGGATGCAGGGGCAGCCACAGCTTCTCTGGGCACCCTGTGCCAGGGCCTCACCTCCCTCACAGGGAAGGATTCCTCCCCAAAGTAAAGAATTTCTTCCAAATATTAAATTGTTCTCAATCCACAAGGCTTTTCTTTCCAATTCCCCTCCCCCTGAAGGGGTACCAGGGAATGAGGGAGGCACCTGCCTGTCAGCTGGGATTACACCACCACAGGACAGTGGGGAAACGCTCCCATTTCCCATGGGAAAAGGAAAAGAGGAAGTTTTTGGACACAACCATAAAAAATTGTCCCCACCTCGTGACCTTGAAGCATCACACCCAGCTCAGTGCTGTGGCAGATGAGCAGGGACACATCTTCCTCCTCCCTGGAATGAAGGCTCTCCAAGTGATCCCATTTCCCTCCCTCCATTGCATTACAGCATTTTGACTCATTTCTTTCTGGCTGGAGATAAATCCAGGAAGAGGAAGGAGGTGACAGAGGCTTAACACAGGCCCCACCACAGGTAAAACCAAATCAGGGGCAAGTCAGAGATCCCAGACTCCCCCCAGCAGCTCTGAGACCCCACCCACTGCACCCAAAAACCACATCGCAAGAGAAATACAAAATATAGCACTTTAATTGCAGGGAGATATAAAAATTTACCCCAAAAATTAATAAACCTCAGGCATACAATAAATAGGCAGCTTTGGTGGCACGCACACATGTGCAGTCCTGCTTTGGGAGGCACCAGCAGCTCCCCAGAGCTGGGGGCACACACAGAGGCTGTGAAAATGAGGATTTCCACATGGATGGCGCTGCCTGGACACGCTTGGGAGAGCCCCACACGTGTGTTTGGGAGGGTGAAGCCAAGCTATTCACACTACGCTGCAGTCTTGAAAAATTAAAACTCTATATATTTATATAAACTCTGGCTCTGGTCAGGAAAAATTAAGATTCCCAAGTCTTTGTGTTCAATATTTACATATAGAATCTCTGCATGGCTTGCCAAATTTCAATCCACTTTGGCGTGAAAAAGAAACACATAAACCTCACAGCAAAAAATAAAGAGGAATTTCAGGAGTTCCCTTTGGGAGGCACACCCAGGAGTGCTCAGGAGTCGCCAGCAGGACTCTTTGAAGGGGGAGAGCTGATTCCTGGATATCATTTCCTAAATTTGAGCATTCTGATGCTTTTCCAAGAGTCACCTCCTGTCGAATTGCTGCTCTCAGCAAGGTCTGAGTTGCAGGTTGTTGGGGCAGGTGGTTACAGCTGTTGGTTTTTGGTTCTGCCTGAATGGCCATTAACAAAGGCAACAAAAAGCAAAGCCAGCCCTGACCTTCCTGCACAGCTTGGATGCTCCCTCGTGCCCCAGCCATGAGCTACAGACAGTCCTGGGGCTAGAAAAGTCACTTTTATCATAAATTGTTGACAGGACAAACACTGAACATCCAAGCTGTTTGCTCACGGCACGTTTTCACCACTGGATTTATACAGACCCTGCACTGGAAACAGCAAAGAACAAAACCCAAATTTCCAAAAGGGAAAAAAAAGAAAAAAGAAGAAAAAAAAGAAAAGAAAAAAAATAAAGAAAAAAAAATTTTAAAAAGAAAAAAAATGGAAAAAATGGGAAAAAATAAGGAAAAAATAAGGAAAAAATAAGGAAAAAAATTAAATAAGGAAAAAAAAAAGGAAAAAAAAGCAAAAAAAAAAATAAGGAAAAAAATAAGGAAAAAAAAAATAAGGACACTTTTTTAGGGTCACTTTTTTAGGACACTTAGGCACTGGAGGGACTGACGTGGCTGTGGATGAGGCCAGCCCAGCAGGCTCAGACTGCAATCTGCTGGTTCTCTCGGAAGAGCGGCCGCGTGGTGCAGATGTCCTGGAAGATCCGGTAGCCCTGGTCGTGCTGGGGCTCCTCTGCCATGGGCAGCATGGGGCTGGAGCTGCAGCTCTTCCCAGCCTCGTCCACCACCTGCCTCAGGTACAGCTGCTCCACCTGGGACAAAGGAAAAAGGACAGGGATTGAGTGGGGAGCGTCCTCTTGGGGCATCTCCTGCTGCTCCTTGCATGGGGGACACACAGCACAGCACAGCTCCTGCCAGGACAGCAGCGCTGGCTCCAGGGATAAAGGAGCAGCCCCAGGAGCTCTGCCAGCAGGGATACTGAGGTGCAAGGACAGGCTGGGGATGTCCAGAGTGATCCACTGGGGCAGACATCCAGGACAGCAAGAGGTGATGAGGTCAGGAGCTGTGCAGGAGGCACAGGACCAGTCTCTGACCTGGTGGGTCTCTGCTTGCTCAGGAGGGGATGCCACACCCTCCCTGTGCCCTCCCTGTCACATCCCTGCTGTCACAGCCTGGCTGGGCCTGGGTTTCAGGACAGAAACCCCCTGTCCTGAGCCTTTTCAACCCTACAACTGCTGCAGCTTCTCCAAGGGGAAGTTTCTGACCAGAGCCACGAGGGCTGACCCCACATCCCATCCCCTTCTTCACCCTCCTAAGGTTTCCCAACCCCACTGCTGCCAATCACAGCTGTTGAGCACATCACTGACTGATCTTAAATCAGTCCAGGCATTTACTTCCCCATTTCCCACAGGAAAAGTCCCAGTGCCAAAGCAGGATCAGGAGGAAGAGGAAAGATTTCCCTGCAGTTCACAAAACTTGTGCCATTAGGGAGCTTCATTTGCAAGCCCAGCTGCAGGAATTTGATAGCCAGCAGCCCAAGCACCTCTCAGGAGGCTGTGGGAAAGCACCACACTTCCACCCCCATCCACCCAAATGCCCCGTGGCTGCAGGGGTGGAGCTCTGCTGGCAGAATTCCCACCTTTCCTGGGTCCCTTTTCCTCCCAGCCCCCCGTACCTGGACAAGGATGAGTTTACACCTCAGGGGCATGGCATCTGGGAACTCCTCCCCGAAGCACAGCATGACCCTGCTGTCTGGGAAGCGGCCCTGGTTGTTGTAGTACTGCTGCAGCTCTGCAAGGACACAGGAAAACTTGGGATTTGCCCTCCAGAGGCTTTGTTACACATCCCTGGGATCAAACACCCCGCAAGGAAGCTGTGGGCTCAAGCAAAGGCTCTGGTTTGGAATTTGCCACATGACCCCAAACACCAGATTATCCTTCCCTCAGTGTGGCAGTGTCACCTGCTCATCCTTGGGAACCCAGCAGTGAGGGATTCAAAGTGTGCAAGGAAAAAGGGCTCCACCCTTTCAACCCCACCACAGGGCCCAAGGGGGTCTCATGCCAGGTCAAGCTCCACAAACCATTTGTGCATTGTCCCAAGGCTTTGGGATCCCAGAATTACCTCAGCTTTTCCAGGGAGTTTCTAGCCAGAGTCATATCCCTGCTCTCCTCCACCCTCCTCTGAAGGTTCCCCCACCCCAAACTGCTGCCACCCAGGGTTGCCCACCACATCTGCTGGCTGACCATCCTAAACCAACCAATGCAGGGATTCTCCCCACAGGAAAGAGCAGAAATCCTAACACCAAAGCCTGCAGGAGGCTCCCACAAACCTCGGAAGAACAAGTTGGTGTCAAAGATCTTCACCACGTCCTCCCGGTCCAGTTTGTTGGGCCTGTCCTTGTAGGCCATGGTGTTGCCACTCCAGAAGACCCTGCCCTGGCACAGCCTCTTGATGAAGATGCCCTGCTTGTTGCTGTGCAGGAGGACACCCCTCTCCAGGTGCCCAAAGAGCTTCCTGGTGATCTGCTTCTGGCGGTCGTTCTGGATGGCGTCGGCCGAGGGGAACCGCACGTGCTCCAGGGCATCGGGGGCGTAGAGCTTCTCCCCGTGGCCCGAGGGCTGCCCCAGGGAGATCCTGCAGCCCTCAGAGCACGAGGTGCTGACGTGGCCCACCAGCCTCCCGCTGTAGTAGAAGCTGATCACCATCTGGGAATAACCTGGCAGGCGAGGGACGCGCGCGTCTCATCAGGAAGGGACAAAGCTGCTCCTCGCCGCCATGCCCAAACCCCAAATCTCCTGGGAGTGGCTGTCTCCTGGTGGAGGGACATCTCCAGGGCTGAGCAGCAAGTGAGAGCTCCCAGTATTAGAGGATCGTGGAGTGGCTGGGGTTGGAAGGGACCTGTGGACCACCCAGTCCAGCCCCCTGCCCAGGCAGGGTCACCTGCAGCAGGTGACACAGGAACAAATCCAGGTGGGGTTTGTTCCATGAATTCCTCTCTGAAGGTCTCCAGAAAGGGAAATTCCACAGCTCCCCGGGCAGCTGTTCCAACATTGACACCCTCCATGGGAAGTTTTTCCTCATGTTGAGGTGGAACTTCTGGTGGTTCAGTTCAAGGCCATGAAATACATTGAGCCTCTTCCTCCTGCCTTTGCTCCTCACTCCCCCCATGCCACAGGCAGATCCCCCCATTCCAAAGGCTGCCTGGCCCCAGCACCCCAAGCAGCTGCTCTCTGCCCCCATGCCACCAGGCAGGATTCACCCCAGCGTGGAAATGTGGATAATCACCTCCCAAACCCAAAGCAAAGCCTCCCTGAAGGTGGGGGACAGAGTCAGAGCCACCTCCTGCCACCACGAACAGAGAGGGGCACCTGCTGGCCAGGTGAGGTGCCTTACCTGAGTGATACTGCTCGTAGCTGGAGTATCCATTCATCAGGGGCAATGCTGTGGGCACAGAAAGCCAAGCTGAGCCTGCATTCCCAAATCCCAAATCCCAATCCCTCAGTTCCCCCTCATTTTCTGCCCCAGGTTTCCCAGCTCCCACATGGGAAATGCCAGCAAAAAGCTCCCAGCTGGATTTCTTAATGAGCACTTCAAACACTCTTAATAAGGAAGATAAAATAAACTGCTCTCCGTTGTGTATCCCCACACAGGAAGATTTTTCCTGCCCCAAAAATCTCCCAAACACCACACCAGCTGTTGGCTGCTTACCAGGGCTGGGCTGCTGCACCCACCAGTCGGGTATTGGGGGGTTCCTGCAGGTCTCCTGGGGGGGTGAGGGGCTCCTCTTGATGATGCCCAGGTACTCATCCACACAGGAGGGCTGTGGGACAGCAGACACCGGGATCAGAGCGGGTTCGGTGCCTCCAGCAAGGCACCTGAAACGCTCAGGGAGGACCCAAATGGCAGCACCAGCCAATTTTGGGGGTTGGAAAGATCAAATCTGGCATTGCTGAGGTTGTACATCTGAATAAGACCCTCAAGAGCTACAGAGAGGTGTGACAAGGCCAAGGAGGGGCCCAGAGCTCTGACAGACTCCTCCCCAGTGAAGGTCTCTCCCAGCTGGACGCACAAGGAAAGCAGGAGCCAACATCAGAACCGTGTGAAGGAGCTGCAAAGCCAACCCTGCAGCTCTGCAGAGGGAATTCGGGGAGGGCAGGGCTTTCCCAAGCCGGACAGCTTGACCCAAGCCCTGCACCTGCAGCCAGGGTGAGGCCTCACCTCCTTGATGAGCTCGTCGATGGCAGAGGAGCTGCAGTCCATCTCGGTGACATCATTCAGGCTGCTCCCGCTGGCCACCCCTGCTTTGCCTGGAAGGAGAGGTGACACTGCAGTGAGAACACCCACACTGGCCAGGCACAGCTCATCTTGAGGGGTTTTGGGAACCTTTCACCCAGTGAAAGTGATGAGAGCAGGAACCACAGCAGAGCTGTGTAACAGCACCTGGAGCAGGCTCACAGCCCCTCCAGAGCTGCTTTTTGGGCCCAAAAAAATCGCTTTACAACTAATTTCCCCCCTGCACAGGGACCAGCAGCAAGAAAAATCAAAAGCCTGGCTGGTGACAGAGACAGAGCTGGAGCAGGGTTTTTTTTGAGTTTTTTGGGTTTTTTTGAGCACCCCAGAGACTGGGGCTGGGGCTGCTGCTTCTCTTTTTTCCACCAGCCACCCCAGTGCAGGGGTGCTGCTGGTGGGAACCTGCAGTGCCATTTGCATAGTGGCAGCACAGCCCCTGTGTGAACGGGCTGGAGGGGACAGACATGCTAAAGGGAGATTTCCTGACTGCAAAATCATGGGTTTGTTTTTTTTTTTTTGCAAGTTTTTAACTTAAAGGACAAAGCACACAGGCTCCCCTAACCACAAATAGAGTTATAGTTAGTGTGAGCTGAGCCACACCGGACATCAGAGCAGCTCTCTGCAAAATCATTGCTCCTCCAGCAAGAAAAGGGATTTATTGCAGCTCCCCACCATCCTCATAGGGCAGGGCTTGGGAGGAAAAAAAAAGTTTGAGGCTCGTGTCCCTCTGCCAGGCAGGGAAGGTGGAATCTGCCCCTACAACATCCTCAGGGGATGGGAGCTCCCACAAAGCTGCAGCTGTCCCACATTTCCTAAGGGTTTAAGGGGTTAAAAAAACCCAAGCCTGGCCTTTGTCCTCCCCTCCCTGTCACGGCAGGGGGACACAGCAGAGCAGGACAAGAGCAGGGGCTGGCAGGGAGCTCAGGCGCTCACAGGATGCACCCACTGCAGGTGTCCCTCTGCCAGGCAGGGAAGGTGGAATCTGCCCCTACAACATCCTCAGGGGATGGGAGCTCCCACAAAGCTGCAGCTGTCCCACATTTCCTAAGGGTTTAAGGGGTTAAAAAAACCCAAGCCTGGCCTTTGTCCTCCCCTCCCTGTCACGGCAGGGGGACACAGCAGAGCAGGACAAGAGCAGGGGCTGGCAGGGAGCCGAGCTCAGGTGCTCACAGGATGCACCCACTGCAGGCTCAGTCCCCTCCTGGGGAACTCACACTTCTGCTCCTCCTCTGGCACGATCCTGTAGACCTTGTAGGGCTCGGAGATGTCCAGCTGGGACCTGTCTGTCACCTCCTCAAAGTCAGGGCTCTTGTTCAGGGCGCAGCGGAGCCGCGTCTTCCACGTGGCCGGCTCGGCTTTGTCGCCCTCCTTGAACTTGCCTTTGAAAACAGCCCAGGCCTAAAGCAAAGAATGAGAAAAAAAAACTATGAAAATCCTCCCTGTGAGCCCTACAAAGCCTCTCAGGGAGGAAGAGCTGGGCTTGCAGAGAGCATTTTGCATCTTGCACCCTGTCGAGCATCTCTTGGGGATTTGTTGTTTCGCTCCTAGACTGCACAGCCTGCAGCACACCTGGGGGGGTTTGGGGTGCAGAGCAGCACTGCCTGCCTCAGAAATGCAGAAAAGGCTCGTAAAACCCAGCTTTTCAAAAAGCAGAGGTCAAAATCACGTGTGGGTTCACTTCTACACCTGCGGGTCAAGAGCTGCTGGGAGCACGAGGAATCGCTGCTCAGTTAAAAATCAGAATAAACCTCATTTGTCAGCTCCTGACAAATAAATAAACTGGTTTCCCTAAGATCACAACTTAATTTGTGCTTTTGGTAGGAGAACATATTTTTACCATTGAAGGAAAAATGAAAAACATTACATATTTTTTAAAATACATATTGATTCCTTTTATAGATATTTCTATATTTTCAGAGGGCTGAGTTCAAGGCTATCGTCATAACTCAGTGCTCCCAAACCAGTTGAAATTAAACTGAAATTGAACTTCTTCACCAGTACAGATACTTGGAAGTGGGGTCAGAGGGAAGGGAATTCCTGGGAAAGACCTGAGCTTTTTGCTTCAGGACGGAATTTTCCCATATTTTCCAAAACTGGAAATCCCCTGCTTCAGTGAAATTCTTCCTTCCGTCCTACAAAGTCTTTTTAGTTTTTTTTGTTTGTTTTTTTTTTTTTAATATAAACCCAGCATTTTATCAAGAGAAGCTGCTGAGAAGCTTAGAGCAGGTCAAAAGCTGCTTCTCACATCACATCTGAATTCAAACATACCGAAAACAAACTTAAAACTGGTCGTAAATTTTGATGAAAAGGAATAAATCATCCCAAAAAAAAAAATAAATAAGCCAGGAGACCAACTGCAGCATCTCCTGCAAGGGTTAAAGATGTAAAACCCAGAGACAGCGTGGCCACGTCCCACCAAGGCACAAAACCAGCAGCACAGAGCCCAGGAATCAGCAAGAAAAAGCATTCCCTACCTTGAAAATAGAAGCGTCCACCTCCTGGTTGTAATCCTGCTTGCCGGCGTGCTTCCAGGGGATGCGGAACATGGATTTCTCCTCGTTCTCCCAGATGAGGCCGGCGTAGAGCTCGCTGTCGATCTGCTCGATCAGCCACTGCCGCAGCCGCCGCCCGCCGTTCCTGTCACACATCCTGGGGGCACGGGACACCCACGGGCCCTCTCAGCTCTGCAGCTCCATCCCGGCACAGGCACTGGGGTGCTTGGCCCCTCTGCCCCCCGCTCGGCTGGCAGCGGCACCACCTGCAGCTTTTGGAAGCCCCTCATGCCAAAGTCTGCCCGCTTTAAAGTCCTTTCCAGCCCAAACCCTGCTGGCATGCCACAGTTCTGTGATTCTGAGATTAAAACACCCCCAGCCCACAACCCCACCCCATCCTCTTCTTCTAAAAACTCTTTTAAAATTAAAAAAAAAAGGCAATTTCCTTCTGAGTTACACAAATTCTTCCTCCAGCTCTACCAAAGTTCCGCTCCCAGAAGCGGCTGACTCGGTGCTCTGCTTATTCCTATTCTGCTGCAGGATAAATCACAGAGGAAGCAGAGGGATGGGGATTAAAGCCCCCAGCTGTGCTGTCACCTGAGCAAGTGACACTGGGCAGGCCAGGCTGGGGTGCCAGAGCTGTCCCTGGCTGGCCTTGGCACAAGGATTTGTCCCGGAGGGGGCAGCAGCTCCTCTCACCAAGCACTATTTGGGGAGCAGCTGCCAGCTCCAAACGGCATCCCAAATCCTCACAGGGATAATGAACACACAGCTGCTGGAAGCAAAGTCCCAGGCTCAACCCTCCCTGTCACCTCCACGCCATGACAGGAGCTGGTGGCCTGGCAGAAGTGATCAGCAGCCCCCAAATCAACTTCCCAGGCATTTTGGGCTCTACATTTTACAGGACTGCCTCTCCCTTGTTTATTTGTTCTTTACTGCCCCACTGGAAGATTTTTGGGGAGAAAACAAGGGTGCTCCCAGCACAGCCCGAGAGCCATGGTCCCTGCTTTGCCATGGGCTCCCACCAGCTCAGTGCCACCAATTCCATCCCTTCTAGATGGCCCTGGCTCCTCAGAGCACAGCCCCTGGTTTTTAGGGATGGTGAGCACCAGCACCACCAGCAAAACATCAAGCAAGTGACACTGGGCAGGCCAGGCTGGGGTGCCAGAGCTGTCCCTGGCTGGCCTTGGCACAAGGATTTGTCCCGGAGGGGGCAGCAGCTCCTCTCACCAAGCACTATTTGGGGAGCAGCTGCCAGCTCCAAACGGCATCCCAAATCCTCACAGGGATAATGAACACACAGCTGCTGGAAGCAAAGTCCCAGGCTCAACCCTCCCTGTCACCTCCACGCCATGACAGGAGCTGGTGGCCTGGCAGAAGTGATCAGCAGCCCCCAAATCAACTTCCCAGGCATTTTGGGCTCTACATTTTACAGGACTGCCTCTCCCTTGTTTATTTGTTCTTTACTGCCCCACTGGAAGATTTTTGGGGAGAAAACAAGGGTGCTCCCAGCACAGCCCGAGAGCCATGGTCCCTGCTTTGCCATGGGCTCCCACCAGCTCAGTGCCACCAATTCCATCCCTTCTAGATGGCCCTGGCTCCTCAGAGCACAGCCCCTGGTTTATAGGGATGGTGAGCACCAACACCACCAGCCAAAACATCACGGAGGGCACAGCTCTGGATGCCCCAAAGGACATGCCACAGCTCGTCCCTGGAGGAATGGGGGCAGCTCCTCTGGGGGCTCCAGCACCCACCCTGAGTGATGCCAAAAGGGAAGAACCCGAGAAATCCCACAGAAATGGGACACTTCTTTTTTCTAGAAAGCTTCTTCCCATCGCTGCCGGAGGCCGGGGCTCCGTCTCCCTCCCCGAGAGGGAGTCACAGCTCGGGACAACATCGAGGAGCCCCCTGCACCGGGCGGGCAGCGGCAGCCCCGGCTCCAGCCCGCCCATCCCGGGCTCGCTCCTGGCGCAGGGGACCACGAGATGGGGACATCCCGCATCCGTGCGACCCCGCAAACCTCCTGCGCTTCTCGGCAGCCCCGCAGGCGTGCAGGAAACCGGGGCAGGGCTCGGGACCTGCCCCTGCCTTCCCGGTGTCCGCTCACAGAGGGTGCCGGTACAGGACGCGATCCTGCGGCAGGTCCCTGCCCTCCCACGGGGATGCCGGTGCCGGTCCCTGCCCACCCACGGGATGCCGGTATCGGTCCCCCGGCCGGTCCCTGCCCACCCCGGGATGCCGGTATCGGTCCCCCGGCCGGTCCCTGCCCTCCTACGCGGGATGCCGGTGCCGGTCCCTGTCCCCCAGCCGGTCCCTGCCCATCCATAGGTATGCTGGTCCCTGTCCCCCGGCCGGTCCCTGCCCTCCCAGATGCCGGTATCGGTCCCCCGGCCGGCCCTACCCTGCCCTCGCACGGGGGATGCTGGTGTCGGGATGCCGGTACCTGTCCCCCAGCCGGTGCCGGTGCCGGTCCCGTTCCCGTTTCTGCCCTCCCGGTGCCGCGCCCGCGGATTCCCCGAGCTCATTATTTATACCACAGAGATTATGCGGCCACGCCCACCGCCACGCCCCCTCCACGCTCCGCCAATCACTGACTCCTCCTTGCTCCCGCCCTACCCAATGAGGAGGCGGGGCCGTGCGGGGCTGACCAATGAGGAGCGTCCCGGCGGGGCGCGCGCCGCAGTTTCTCTTAAAGCGAGGCTTTCCCCGAAATCAGCTGACCGGGAGGGGCGGGGCCTGAGCGAAGGGGGCGGGGCCGAAGCGGGAGGGGGCGTGGTTAGCTCGTCCCTGTCCCGGGTATGTCCCGGGTCGGTTCGGTCCCGTCATTCCTAGTCCCAAATTAATCCATTCCCAGTTCCAACCCAGCTTCCCCAGTCCCAGAGCAGTCTTCCCAGAGCCAGACTGCTCCGTTACCAGTCCCAGCCCAGTCCATTCCCAGTCTCACACCGATATCCCAGTCCCAGCCCAGTCCATCCCCAGTCTCAGACTAATATCCCAGTCCCAGCCCAGTCCATTCCCAGTCTCACACCGATATCCCAGTCCCAGCCCAGTCCATCCCCAGTCTCAGACCAGTTTCCCCAGTCCAAGACCAATCCATCCCCAGCCCATGATCCGTACTTCGCCAAATAAACCTCCCCAATTCCAGACCAGTCTCCCCAATCCCAGATCCATTTCCCCATTCCCAGATCCATTTCCCCAGTCCCAGATCAGTTTCCCCAGTCCCAGATCAGTTTCCCCAGTCCCAGATCAGTTTCCCCAGTCCCAGATCAGTTTCCCCAGTCCCAGATCAGTTTCCCCAGTCCCAGATCAGTTTCCCCAGTCCCAGATCAGTTTCCCCAGTCCCAGATCAGTTTCCCCAGTCCCAGATCAGTTTCCCCAGTCCCAGATCAGTTTCCCCAGTCCCAGATCAGTTTCCCCAGTCCCAGATCAGTTTCCCCAGTCCCAGATCAGTTTCCCCAGTCCCAGATCAGTTTCCCCAGTCCCAGATCAGTTTCCCCAGTCCCAGATCAGTTTCCCCAGTCCCAGATCAGTTTCCCCAGTCCCAGATCAGTTTCCCCAGTCCCAGATCAGTTTCCCCAGTCCCAGATCAGTTTCCCCAGTCCCAGATCAGTTTCCCCAATCCCAGATCAGTTTTCCCAGTCCCAGACTGGTCACTCTCCAGTCCCAGGTCATTCTATCCCCAACCCCAAATCACCTTTCCCAGTCCCAGAGCAGTGTCCCCAGTCCCAGCCCAGCCCATTCCCACTCCCAGACCACTTTCCAGACTGGTCCATCCTCAGTCCCAGACCAGCTTCCCCATTCCCAGCCCAGTTTCCCCATTCCCAGACCAGTGTCCCAGTCCCAGCCCAGTCCATTCCCACTCCCAGGCCACTTTCCCCAGTCCCAGACTGGTCCATCCCCAGTCCCAGTTTAGTCCAGGCAGTTCCCAGTTCCTTTCTGGGATCAGTCCAGGATCATTCCCTCCCTGCCTGCCCCAGCAGTTCCCACTGTTCCCAGTCTGGATTTGGTGTCCTGACCGTGCCCCATCCCGACCAAACCCAGCCAGACCCACCAGAGCATAAAGGACCATCTGCAGCCTGACTTCAGAGGGGTTTTTTTTTTGGGATTACCAGATTACACACACATTTCTTGGAAGAAAACCATAATTACTCCCACGTGGGTAATACAGAGAAATGGGAAATGTATAGAGCTGGACAGATGGTTTAATAAAAATAACGCTCTGAGGTGCACAACCTTTCCTGTCATTTCTAATAAAGGATGGCTGTGTGGCCCTTGTTTTTAAACACCCCACTGATCCTCTTTGGATCCCCCCCAGGAGATTTGGGGCGAGCCAAAACCCATCTTCTGCAATCAGACAGTCAGGAGGATTCATTTTCTTTTTTCTTTTTTTCTTTTTTTTTTTTTTTGACCAAAAAATACAATTTTAAGCTTTGCAGGGGTTTTGCATCCTCCTGCTAGATAGAGACCCTCCTGTAAAAACCTCTTTGTTTTGTTAAAATTCTTGGGAAAATGTGGTGTTTTGGAGGGTCTGCACACAACCAAACTCCATCCTCTCTGGAGACCAAAAACCTGGAAATTCATTGTGAATTTCCAATGGGGAGAGGCCACTTCATCATTCCCACCTTCATTTTGGCTCTGCAGCTTCATAGGAAAGAGAAAGGTAAAGATGGAAAGGTAAAACCAAATTCCCTGGGGTGAAGAGGGTCCCTGTGGGGAGGATAAAAAATTAACCCCATTAAAATAGGGTTTCAGGCAAAAAGTGGAAATCAGCCCAGTTTTACCTGTCCAGGGTTTGCCTCCCAGCTCCCAGAATTCCTGAATCCACCTCAGGTCCCACTGATGGAGGACAGAGTGGAAAAAATAGATATATTCACATAAAAAAATAGATATTTGATAGCTCTCAAATCCAGGGAAATTTGGGTTAGGAGGAGGTTTTTGGGGCATGGTTGTGGCGGTGATGTCAGGCACGGAGGGTGCTGCTGTGATTCCCCAAATCTGGGGGATTTTCCCAGCTTTTTCTGTGGTGCTGTGGTTCCCTGGGAATGTTTGAACCCCGGGCTGTGGAGCTTATCACACCTCCTGCACATCTAATCTCTGCTTATCACCCATCTCCAACGACTTCCTATTAACTCCCACTTTCTTCTCCTTTCTCTTCCTGCCTGCAAGTTCCATTTTTCTGCTTCCTAAAATGAAAACAGAGGCTTTAAATCCAATATTGATCCCTGAGCTGATTGCTCAGCCTCCCTTCAGCCCACTCCATCAACAGCCTCCACCTCATTCATTGCTTTCCCATTACTCCCATGTGGAATACCAGCCACAGGGATCCTTTTCTCCACCTAAATAAATGAGGAAAAAACACATTTTTTTCCCCTGGAATTCTATACATCATGGCTATAAGCAGAATATTTAAAACTTTTCATTTTGCTGGTGGTTCTCACCAGGAAAATGGGAAGCAGGGTGGTCATTTCAGTCCATCTCTGTATTCCCACCAGGAACACCACAAATCAATTCCAGCCACCCTCAGGATTTAATCACTTTTTTCTTTATTAGGAGCTGAGTGAGTCACCCCTGGTGCTGTCACACGATGAGTACCCAAAAATCTTCATCAAGACAATTCCTAGAAATGTTTTGAATCCCGTTTTTCTTAGAAGGAATTGCAGAAAAGACATTTTTTTGAGAGGACAAACAGGGTAATTATAGTAAAAGGCCGAGATGGCACGGAAGGGTTGAAGGTTTCCAAGTGGAAGGGCTGAATCCATGGGATGGGACCCCCCTTGTAAGGGGGATTCCTGCCAAAGAAAGCTCTGGAAAAGCACAATCCGAGCTTGGGATGAAAAACTGGACACGGGCACAGGGTTTAGGTATTAAAAAGGCTTTTGGAGAAGGACAGTGTTAAGTTGGTCCATGGGTTAAGTGAATCCAACCAAGCTTTTGGTTTCTTTGGCAAGCAGGGACATTCAGATGGGGCTCAGGGAAATCCCAAACCCACTCTGGCTCCAGGGATGGAGGCAGTAGGAGAGGCACTGCTGGATTTCCCCCCTCCCTGGGGCTGGGATAAGGAAAACCCCAGATAAAAGGTAAATCTGGGTTTACTTTTCCCATTATCCCTGGAGTTGGGATAAGGAAAATTCCAGATAAAAGGTAAATTTGGGTTTACCTTTCCCCTTATCCCTGAGGCTGATATTCACCTGCCAGGGACATGCACAGCGAGGGGCAGCCCCAAAACACCTCCAGCCCCCCTCCCCACCCCACTGGCTGCCAGCCGAGGCTCAGAGCACCCCCACATCCCAGGATTCACTCCTCCTTCCTCAGGGAAGCAGAGGACAAGGTGGCCCCTCTCCATCTCCTCCCACCTTGGATTCATTCCCAAGGCCTGCACCACCTTTCCCGTGCCCTGCCAGCCCAGATATTGTCATGAGGAGAGAGGGACGGGGCTGGCTGCTGCTCTGAGGGTGGAGAGGGGGCTGTGATCCATTGGGAATGGGGCATGGGACAGAGCAGGGCACTGCCACCCTTTCCCTGGAGCTGGCAGCTGCCAGGGGGATCTGTGGCTCCTGTCCCCCCTGGAGCCCAGGCTGGTGCTGGCAGCTTTGTGCCCTAGCCACGAATCCCTGGAGGTGCTTGGCAAAGGGAAAACTGAGTTTTCCAAGCCCGGGGACAGCCTGGCTGGTTATCTGCTCGTGCATCTGCTGCCAGCGGCGGTGCCAGCGGTGCGGCAGGGAGGGGACAAGGAGGGAGCCGGGGAGCGGGGCCAGGAGCAATCCCTGCTGCCCTGCTGCTGCTCCAGCAGGCGCTGCAGCTCCTCCTGGTCCTGGAAGGGGTTCCTGCCGTATTCCCGGAGGATCCAGGCGCGGTACTGGCAGGAAAAAAAAAGGCAGGAGATGTTGTCAGGGTGACCTGAAAAGCTGAGAGAGCGCAGAAACAGAGCAGGGCTGCGGTAGATCCGGGGGAAAGCAGCGAGCAAAGCCATCCCTGCTGCATGCCCAGCACAGCCAGCACGCAGGAAGGTGCCAGTCCCACAGGAGCTCACCCCCAGCACCCCAGAGAGGCAGGGGATCCCCACATCCCCAGCACAGAGCTGGCAGCACCCTCAGCTTCCCACACTGCCTGCAGCTGGGACAGCAGCTTTATTTATTCCTCCTTGCCAAGAAGCTGCTGCTTCCTCGTGTGCCTGAATTCCCGTAAGGAATGCTTCCCAAAGGTTTTTTGGTTGTTTTTTTTTTTTTCCACAGGCAGCAGGGCCGAGTTGGTCCTTGCAAGGTGGGGCAGGTTTGATGTCAGAGCACCTCGGGAGGTTGTGGAGAGCCTCTCACCCCACTGATCCTGATTATTCCAGAGGCAGGAGCATCCTGGTGGCCAGGGGCCAGCTGGCAGCAGGCTGAGGCCTGGGGATGATCCAGAGAAACTGTTCCCGTTAGTGCTGGGATGAGGAAACAGCCAGACAGCCCCACACTGCAGCACGCAGGAGCGTGGGCAGGAAGGGGCAGCTCTGCCAGGATTCACAGCTCCAGGGCTCACTGGGGCTCTGCCATCTCCCTGAGGAGAGATCCAGCTGCTCCAGCAAGGAATTAGTGGTAGGAGCACACCCAGCAACACCAAACACCTCGAGGAAAGGATGGAGGGAGCCTGTGGGTGCAAAGGGTGCAGAGAGGGACCGAGCATTGGAGCCCTAGGATGGGGACAGGGATGGGATGCAGCCAGGGGAGCCAGGGGGAGAGGGAAGCAGCTGCCGTGAGCTGCCCAGCCTTGGCACCCCCAGGGTGAGGTGCCCTCGCTGTGGATTTGGGATCCTCAATGGGCAGGAGCCACCAAGTTCCCAGAAAAAGGTTGGGAGGCAGGGCAGCAGGACTGGCAGCTCAGCACTGCACCAGCCACAAGGGAAAAAAAAAGTTTTAGAGTGACCCTGGTGGTATCCCCCTCTCCTGCAGCCAGGGAAAATCAGCTGGGGCGGGGGGGGATTTCCACTGGGAATGTCTGGATTTCCCAAATCCACTCCCTCCCACAGCAGGACTCACCAGGGCTGTCACACAATTGCCACCTGCAAGCAGGGACATCCCTGCCCCGGGTGGCCCTGAGAGCCAGACCTGTGTTCCTTGAGAGAAAACACTCCCTGGGAAGTGAGACCAGAGGGTTTGGGGCAGGATTTGGGGCAAGATCCATGCCAGGATCTCATGGGGGGCACATCCCCTCTGTGCCAACCATCCAGAGGTTTGGAGCTCCGTGGGAAGGGCTGCCTGGCACCCAGCAGGGCTCACAGCCAGGCTGGGGGCTGCCTCCCACCCTCCAGGGAGGAGGGAGCGAGTGGGAGGGAGATGGGGGAAGGTGCCAGGCATTTCCTCTTAAAGCCAGAGCAAGAAGTGGTTCCAGCCCATTTCCTGCAGTGCTCAGCACCAAGCCACTGCCCTCCTCCTCCTCCTCCTCCTCCTCCTCCTCTTCCTCCTCTCTCCCAGGCCAGCACCCAGCCCATCTGGGGGAAAAGGCAGCCTGGCCACGCTGTGCCAGCACCACGGGGGACAGGTCTGTCACCAGAATGCCCATCTGTGCCCTCTGTGACATCCACACTGGCTTCCTTTTCTAACCCTACCCATCATCCTGCTGCTGCTCTTGGTCCTTTCCTTCCTTCTTCATCCCTCCCGCCCAGAGAAGCCCCATTTGCCAGCTTGAAACCACAGCTGCACGAGGCTGGAGCATCTTCCCCATCCCTTCCTCCCATCTGAGCTCCCTGAGGTGAAGGAAACCGAGGCACCACAGCCCCAGGAGGTCCAAGCTGTTCCTCAGAGGTTTGAACCAGCAAGGATTGAGGTTTCCCACCCACGAGAGCCATTCCCTGCCCAGGGCTGACATCACAGGGAACACGGGTGGGAGTTTCAAGGAAAAGGCAGCTCTTGCTAAATCCCACGGACAGGAAAACACATCCCAGCACCTCCACCCCCAGCTGTGCCTTGGCTGTTTCAGGGAAAGGGTTGCAAAGCCACTGGCAGAACCGTGAGCTGATGGAAAAAGCAGATTTGAAGGGAAAAGGAGGAAATTGCGGTGTCCATTGAGCCCAGGGTGGATTTTTGGGAGCAGGAGGAATAACTGGGATGGAGGGAGGGCACAGCAAAGCTTACACCAGGGTTTGTGGGAAGGGATTTTGGGAGCTGGAGGAATTACTGGGATGGAGGGAGAGAGGGCACAGCAAAGCCCACACCAGGGTCTGCGGGAAGGGCTGGGGAGAGCTGGCCCAGCCAGGGGAAGCCCCCAGGGAATCTCCAGCCCCGCGGGTGTTTTGTAATCCCCAGGAACATTTTCCACCCTCCTGCAGGGGCGTTCCTGCCAGCTGGTGCTAATGGGGCAGGGCCACATCCCTGTGTGACAGCACCGGGGAAAGGAACTTGGCCTTGGGGACAGTGCTGGCCTTGGGGACAGTGTCACGGGCTGTCCCTGCTCCCTCCTGCCAGCACAGGAATCCCCCCAAGGGCTCAGGGGGAGCACAGGGACCCCTGTTTGCCACGGTGGCTGCAGTGCCCTCTGCCTCCAGGGGTGGCTCCGGGCTCAGGGGTGACAGGAGCTTCGACATCCCTTGCACACATCTTTTCCAGCGTCTCCCTTTCCTTGCAGAGGTGTCTGTGTCCCATGGGAAGTTTGGGACCCCAGGGATGGGGGAAGGAGCAGAGTCCAGAGTGGGAGGCAGCTGGAGAGCCAGGTGGGAGCTGTGCTTTTAAAAGCCTTTTCCTTGGCTTTTAAGGGTTTTTTTCCCTTTGCTTTTTAAGGTCTTTCCCTTTGCCTTTCAAGGCCTGTCCCTCCGCTTTCGAAGGCTTTCCAGGTCAAAAGTGCAGCTCTAACCTCTGCACTAAGTGCTCTCCCTGGAATGCAGCTGGGCTCTGCTCCATCCTCCCTCCCCTGCACCCAGCCAGCCTCAGCTCCTGCTCTCCCAGACCTGCTGCCCCACCTCGTTTTGGGGAGGAAATAGGAGGTTTCTCCACTCCTGCCTGCCACCTGCCCCTGGGAGCAGGGCACTTGCTGGCAGAGTGAGCCCTGGCAGACCCCAGCGTGCCCAGACATCCTCACCAGAGCCTTCCTCCCTCCTGGGAGCAGGGCACTTGCTGGCAGAGGGAGCCCTGGCAGACCCTCACCAGAGCCTTCCTCCCGCTGCACTCCCCCTCTCGGCGCTGCATTCCCGGGAACTGGCCCAGCTCCTTCCTGAGGTTCCCAAGGGACAAACTGCTCTCCCATCCTTCCCGCTGCATCCCAACTCCAGAAAACAAGTTTAGGGTTTTTAAGAGTTTTTTAAATTGCACTCACACAACATCAAGGCAATTCTTTTTTTTTTTTTTTTTTTAATTTCTTTTTGGTTTTGCATACAAACCCCCAAATCCTCAGGTGATAAATGACATTCCCAAATCCAGCTGGAGCAAACAGCTGCATGCAAAGGAGCCGTGCCTGGTTGCAAACCCCCCAAAAATGCACGCAAGGAGGGCTTACCTCGTGGAGCAGCGTGCTCTCGTACTCCTGCAGCTGCTGCTGGAAGCCGGGGTTGGGGCTGGCGTAGGAACGCACGGCCCTGGTGGCAGCCAGGCAGCTCTGCCAGCCCAGCTCTGTCACTGTCATCAGGTATGCCACCAGCACCGTGCTGCTGCGGGACACCCCGGCCAGGCTGGGCGGCCGAGGGGCCAGTCAGGGAGGGGATCCCGCAGGAATCACCCTGGGATGCAGAGCCCCTCGTGGGCTGAAGGGGATGAGGAGCCCTCTCACACCCTCAGTGCTGTTGTCACCTCGCTGTCCCCTCCTCAAGCCCGTCCCACGTCTTGGATGCTCAGGTGGTCAGTGCAGGGAGCACACATCCCTTTCTGTTCTGTGCCTCCTCCTCCTCCTCCTCGCCTTCCTCCCCTCCCCAGGGGTGTTCAACACCAAGGACACTTTTTGGGGTCCATGCCTGATGCCTCAGGGTTTATCTCTAGCTCAGCCTTCCCAAGGCATTGTCCCCAGCTCCCAGGGTGGGTGTGAGGGGTCCCAGCAGCTCTCACCAGTGCACCAGGCAGCCTCCCCCTCCAAGCCGGCACTCGTGGATGAACTGGATGCACTCCTTAAAATGCTGCAGCCTGCAGGGAGAGAGGCAGCAGTGAGGAGGGAAGGGCTGGCTGTCCCTGCAGGGCACCAGGACACCCTGCACACACCAGCACTGTCACTCCCAAGGGTTTTTCACCACCCCGGGGCCACCAGCGTGGGGAGGGAGCAGAGATCCTTCCTCTGCCAGGGGAAGGTGATGCCTCAGGTTTAGGTTTCATACTTTTCACATTCTGTGCTGCTTTAGTGTGTGGGTTTGAGCTTCATATCAGGGGATGGTGAGCTCTGTGCACAGAGCAGGGACACAAAACAATTCCTTCTCTAGCTGGGCACCAAGGATAAATGATCCAAATTTTATATAACCTCTGCTGCGGCGCCGGACTTCCTCCGCTCCGCGTGACGGGGTGGGCGTGAGCCCACGCTGCCTTCCTGATTTCTCAGAAGCCAAGGCTTGACCTCCCGCAGTCATTCCCACTGCCAAGGGAGCTGTTCTCCCTCTGGGAACTCTCCAGAAGCTCCTCCTGGCCCATGGAGAAGGGTGTTTGTTCTTCACCCTGCCCTGAAGCGCTGGGCTCGGCGCTGTCAGAGGAGCCAAAGATGAATTTATTCAGGAATTGCAGGGAGTTCTGCTTCCCAGGAATAGGAGGAGAGACGAGAGTGTCTGACATCACGTGAGCAGGCTAAAAATACTGAGCCTCTCATTCCTGGAAGGAGATGTCAATCCAAGGATCCTCCAGCAAATGGAGCATCACCATTTGGGAGGATTTTCCCTGCCCCTGCTCTAGCTCAGCCTTCCCAAGGCATCCAAAGCTGGTCCCAGGGGATTTCCCTGCTTGTCCTGCTGATCTTCACAGAGCACACAACATCCCCCCAGGGCCTGCAGGTGCTGCCCACACAGCTCCAAACTCTGCAGATCCCAGTCCTGCCCTTCAGCCCCTCGGCAGGACCAGCAGGAATGTTCTCTGCTTGCAAGGACACGATGCTCGTGCCTCCAGCCTGCATCCCTGTCCCAACCTCCCAAAGGAATTTGGCTCCCCATCCATCCTCACCCACGGGTGTTTTCCCCACAGGGAAAGCTCTGCCTGTGCTTTTCCAGCCTCCAAGCGTGGGATCGGGGAGTGGAATTAGCACTAAGCTCCAAAATCACAAGCAGGACACAAAGTTCACCAGGATTGTGAAATCCAAGGCATAAACTGACAAGCAGAAAATAGTTTCTTGAATAACTCTTCCTTCCTGCAGGCAGCCTTATCTTCTTTTTTTTTTTTCCCTTTTTTTTTTTTTTTTTTTTTCCCCTTTCGTAGACACGCCACAAGCGCAAAGAAATGAGCGAAGGGGCAAAAAATAACAACCAAAAATCCCAGTTCTTGCTGAGGCAGGCTTTTCTTGTAAAGCTTCTCTTTCCGCTCAGCCAGAGCATGAGCAAGCAGGATTCCACCCCTGGGCAAGGCTGCTCCCAAGGATGCTGGAAAAACCAGCAGCTCCACAGGCAGGGACTTGGAAATTAATTTTTGATGATTTTTAGGGTTTGATTGGAGGGAAAAATCCCACTGATTTGCCAATTTGCTGGTGTAAATTGATGATTTATGGGTGCTCATCACCCAAAGCAGCAGCATCCCACAAAATCCTGGGAATTCCTCCCAGCTCCTCTCAGCAGCTTCATCTCCAAAACAGCATTCCAAGAGTTACGAGCATCAGTGCTTTATATGGCAAAAAAATTATATTTTAATAAATTTCTCTTAAAAAATAAAAGCCTTGAAGACTGACACAAATCATCTTTCTAACACTCCAATTTTCAATCCTGCCAGTGGAATAACTCTGAAACTTGACCAAAAAAATCACATTTCCTGACTGCAAACACACATTAAAAATAGATTTTAAGCCCTAAAATGTTATTTACCACACAAAAATGAACCCCAGCTTCTGGGAAGCTCAGGGATTATGTGAAATTTCACAACATGAATAGACTAAACCTTCATCCCGCAGAACCTGTGCTTTTATTGACCAACAGCTGCCAACAGGAAAAAGGATGGGAAATCACTTACAGGTTCTGACTGGATGAATCCGAGGCCGAGATACACAGATAGGTCATGTCCTGCAATACAAAATAAAACAGTCACAAAATACCTCCAAGAATCACAAAATCCTTTATTTCTCTCTTTTTTTTTTTTTTTTTTTTTCCTCAGTTGACCTTGAGGGGAGACAAAAGCCAAAAACCACTTTGGGGTTTGCTCCGCTGCGATGGATGAGCGCATCCATCCCACCCCACTGATTTCCTCTCAATCCCACAGGACAGACCAGGCTGTGGGGACAACTAAAATATTCAGGAGCCCCCCCCAAAACAGAGCCAGGGAGCCCCAAACTCCACCAGGAAGACGTGCACTGACAAAGCCACTCTCATCAATGAGTTATTTCCTCCCCGTCCTTTTAATACCCCATAAATCATCTCCTGCCTGCTGGCCTAGGTCAGATTACTTTCCTCTCCTTAAAACATCGCTTCCTCGATCCTCCCTGTTTGGTGCTAAATTTAGATCCTTTTTATCTGGGGGTTGGGGTTTTTTTTTAAATCCTTTCTCAGCAAAACAGGGTGGAAATGCTGCAGCCAGAGCACCAGGGATTGCCCCATCTCCATCAGGTCCCTCCCGGCTCAGGCAGCCCAACCCTCTGGAGCACCCTCCAGCCCAGGAGGCTGGGAAAAGTGGATTAGTGAAGGAAGGAAGGGCAGAGCAGGATGGGTACAGGGAGAATTCTGTTGGTCACAGGGATAATTCTGTTCAGGAATGGCACAGGGATAATTCTGTTCAGGATGGTCACAGGGATAATTCTGTTCAGGAATGGCACAGGGATAATTCTGTTCAGGGTGGGCACAGGGATAATTCTGTGCAGGATGGTCACAGGGATAATTCTGTGCCAGGATGGGAACAGGGAGAATTCTGTGCAGGATGAGCACAGGGATAATTCTGTGCCAGGATGGGAACAGGGAGAATTCTGTTCAGGAATGGCACAGGGATAATTCTGTTCAGGATGGGCACAGGGATAATTCTGTGCTGGGATGACCCACAGGCTTTCCATGCATCACCTCACCCACAGCTCCATGCCTGGTGCCATCCCAAAATCTCCCACGCTGGAGTTACCAAACCCACCATGAAGAAGCCAAAATGACCCCGACCCTCCCCAAAGCCTGACCCACCCCCCAGCCCAGGATGAGCCCAGCAGCTCCTCACGGGGCCGGGTGTCCCCATCCCGGGGCCACCACGGCAGCGGCGCTGGGGTTTGCGGTCACCGCTGGGGCCGTGATTGACACATTGCAAAACCCCCCGGGCCCTTCCGCTTCCCCTCTGCGGGCTGTGCTCCGTGGTGTAAGCGCTGCGTGCGCTTTGCTCCATGGTGTAAGTGCTCTGAGCACTTTGCTCCGTGGTGTAAGCATTCTGAGTGCTTTGCTCCGTGGTGTAAGTGCTGTGTGTGCTTTGCTCCATGGTGTAAATGCTCTGAGAGCTTTGCTCCATGGTGTAAGCATTCTGAGAGCTTTGCTTCACGGTGTAAGTGCTGTGTGTGCTTTGCTCCGTGGTGTAAGCGCTCCATGTGCTTTGTTCCATGGTGTAAGTGCTGCGCACACTTTGCTCCATGGTGTAAGTGCTCTGAGCACTTTGCTCCGTGGCGTAAGTGCTCTGAGCACCTTGCTCCGTGGTGTAAGCGCTGCGTGCGCTTTGTTCCATGGTGTAAGTGCTGCGCACACTTTGCTCCATGGTGTAAGTGCTGTGTGTGCTTTGCTGTGTGGTGTCAGTGCTCTGAGCACTTTGCTCCGCGTTGTAGGCGCTCCGTGAGCTTTGCTCGGTGTTGTAGGCGCTCCGTGCGCTTTGCTCCCCGTCTGGCCCAGCCCCGGCTGCTGCCCCGGCCCCAGCCCCAGCCCGTCTGTCCCTCCCTGTGGCTCTGTCCTTCCCTGGGTCTCTGTCCTTCCCTGGGGCTCTGTCCTTCCCTGGGGCTCTGTCCCACTCCCCGTTCTCAGCGCCTCAGCAGCCCCAGCTGGAGTTTTATTGGAGTTCCCCCCCATGGTGGCCCCAAAAGGATGAGGGGTCCTGGTGGTCACATTCCCTTTCTGCAGCACCTCAACATTGGGGTGAAGCACCCCCAGCACCGGGAGGACGTGGAGCCGCTGGAGAGAGTCCAGAGGAGCTGGGGAAATGCTCCAAAAGCTGGGAAAACTCCGCTCTGGAGCCAGGCTGGGAGAGCTGGGGGTGCTCACCTGGAGAGGAGAAGGGTCCAGGGAGAGCTCAGAGCCCTGCCAGGGCCTGAAGGGGATCCAGGAGAGCTGGAGAGAGACTGGGGACAAGGGATGGAGGGACAGGACACAGGGAATGGCTTCCACTGCCAGAGGGCAGGGCTGGATGGGATATTGGGAATTAGGAATTGTTCCCTGTGAGGGGGGGGCGGTGCCCAGAGCAGCTGTGGCTGCCCCTGGATCCTGGCAGTGCCCAAGGCCAGGCTGGACATTGGGGCTTGGAGCAGCCAGGGATGGTGGAAGGTGTCCCTGTCCCCCAGCAGGTCCCAGCACCCCACGGCCGTGCCCCTCGCTCCTGGCACATCCCAGGAGCTGAACCTGCAGCTTGGTCCATCCGGGCAGGATTTGTGCCCCAGCGACCTGTCGCACCCCTCTGCCGCCACCCCAGGGGCAGCTCCCTCCTGCCTCAGTTTCCCCAGCCAGGGTCCCGCAGCGCTCCGGGGATCAGCGAGGCCGGGGCAGCGGGGACACCGAGCAGGCGGTGCCAGCTCCGGTTGCGGTCCCGCCGTGTCCCCTCCCCGCCGGGGCTCCATTCGCGGGGCGCCGCCGCCCTCTCGTGGGGACCCCCCGGCAGCGCTGCGGGTCCCGCCTGCCCCCCAAAAACCACCCGAACACCCCGCTGCCCCCTCCCCAAATCCATCACAGAGCCCCTCTGGGCAGCATCGCCTGGTGCCAACTGGTGCAAATCGGTGTAAATCGGTGCAAATCGGTGCAAATCTGTGTAAATCGGTGCAAATCCAGCATTGCTTCTCCCCAGGCCAGGAGAAGCTCCTGGGTGTCCCCTCCCTGGTCCTGCTGCCCCGGGTGGTCCCCAGCCCCCCCAGCCAGGCACACACCTCCAGCACGGGCTTGGCGCGGTTGTGCACGGACAGGATGTGGGTCACCCCCTTGCTCAGCAGGTTCTCATGGTCCTCAGAGTCTGGAAATGGGAGCCACGTGGGAATTACCTGCCCTGCTGGGACCCCCTGGCCACCCCCTCCCTCTGACTCCCATTCCACCCAGCCTCTCATCCCACACGGTGCAGGGAGGAGATTGGACACCTCCTTCCAGGCAAAACCCCCCTGGGATGCCCTGGGTGCTCAGCAGGTTCCTACAGCCATCCCAACATCAGAAATTACCCTGAGAACTCAGACAAGGCTGTTGTGTCCTTGCTGGTGGGGAGGTTTCCAGATGTGCTGTGAATTTCCTGGGGTTCCAGCTTGGCTGGTGAGCACAGCTCCCAGTGGACATCCCTTTCCTGGGCTGGACTGGGATCACTGGAAATTGGGAAGGGGATTTGGGCCAGCTCTGGGAGATGCTGAGATTCCCAGTTGGGGGCACATGGAGTTGCCAAGGAGAGGAATCCTCCAGCCCTGCCAGCTGCCCAAGGATCCCACAGCACCACGGAGGGGCAGGAAAGACACTCACCATGAATATTCCCCAGGTAGAGGCCGGTGACAATCTGGGAGGTGACAAAAAGGAGAGAGAATTCAGATGGCACCAGGAACAAGGTACATCTGATGTGGTGGGAATGAGCTCCAGCAGGACCAGGACACCTGGCACCAAACTCCCCAGGCCATGCCAAACCAAGCACCCAAATCCATGGATCATCTTCATAAACAGCCAGGAAAGGCTGAGCCCAACCCCTCAGGAGAGCAGAGCTCAGGAACAGCTCAGCACAGAAATGGGAGGAGTTTGGATGTGATCCTCTGGAGTTTCAAAGGTTGCATCTGCCAGCTGGGGATGGATGGATGGATGCTATTTATAGCAGGATTTATATTTATTGCAGTTAAGAGATGTCAAGGCTGCAAATTTGGTCTCCAACTTGCTGCTGCAGGGTTATGAAGGAGAAAAGGGACAGCTGAGGGTGTTTAAGGGGTGTGAGAACCTGCCAGAGCATTTCCAGAGGCACAGAAAGACAGAGCTGATCATCAGCTGGACTTGCTGTGCCCATCTGGCAGAAGAGCCCTGGTTTGAGGAGTTTTAGGGTTTTCAACAGCACGGGGTCACATCCAGCTGAACCCCAGCCCATTCCTGGGTGCAAACACCTGGATTCAGCACAGCATGAACTGTGAAGGGAAATGCAGAGCCCTGCATCTTATGGAGTGCAAAACTGGATCCTACAAAAGGGTCTGCACCAATCCAGCCCTGGGCAACAACAGCCTGGGCTCCCCAAAAGGGTTTGGTGGCACGGGGGGTTGTAAAAAGCACTGTGCCCGTCAGGCTGAGTTCACAGGGGGTGAATCCACATCAGAGCCATGCAGAGGGAGTTTGCCCTGATCTCATCTCTCTGTTGTTGTCCTAGAGTCTAATTTTAAACTGGAGGACTCACATTCCAAGTGGTTATTTAAGGACACCAACAGAAATTGATCCCCTCCTCCAGCCCCGGAGGAAAGAGCAGCACTGAAACCACATTTCCCCCATTGCTGGGGCACACCCCGAGGGTGGGAAGGGGGGAATTTCCCTGCAGGGACCCCTGTTATCCCTGAGGATGAAAATGCCAAGGTTTTACCACCCCAGGGATGAGCACTTAATGCCAGCTGTCACTTTTCTGACACCTGCAGACACCGAGCTCTTCACCACGGATATAAAGCTTGGATTTAAATCCGTGTTTGTTTTCCTAATTCTCTTGAAGTGCTCGGAATTCCAAAGGGCTGTGGGAAAGGGGAAGGTGCAGATGGCTGTATTTAGGGACCTGGGAAGTGCATCCATGAGCTGCAGAAGAAGAGAATGTGCTGGCCACCATCCCACTGTCCCCCTGTACCTTGCTCATTCCAGTCCCCATGGATTTTCTCTCCCCAGGATCAGGATTCGGGTGGTTTCTCAGCCTCCAAGGCTACCTGCAAACAAACATCCCAAATTCCCAGGGAGGATGGTGAGCTCTGACCCCTTCCCAGGGCAGGAGGAAGGGAAACACACCAGGAGGGGAGCAAGCAGAGCCCTGGCAAACTCAGCTCACCTGAGGCTGCTCCAGCAGGTCCCGCTGCTGCTCCGGAGGGAAAGGAGCAGAGAGTGGCTGGTGCCAGGAAGGGGAGGATGAAATAAGGATCTGGGATCACGGCAAGGCTCAGATTTCTATCCTGGCCTCCCTGGGGTTCCACAGCTTTTTGGAAGGACAGTCCTGGGAGGAACTCACTTATCCCAGAAGCACTGAAATTCCAGCATTTGCTCCAAAACAAATCGATTTTCCAGGCACAATCCCCTGGCACCTCTGTGTCCCTCAGCCAGGTCGGTGCCACCAGGCTGCCAGAGGCAGGAGCTGTGCAAAAAGCAGGGAAAAGCGGAATTCCAGCCATCACCACCAGGCTGGGATTGTCACCCTCATTCTCCTCAGCACCCAAGATAGATTTATCACTGAAGGGATTTTTCAGCTGTAGGAAGGGGAGCTCACTGCTTAATTCCCACCTTATAAACCTTCCCAAATTTTTGAGTGGAAGGGAAAGGGACCAGCAACAGCCCACCACAGCTCCTAAACCACAACATCAATTTCCTGATGGCTTCCTGTCCCATCAGGCAAAATTAAGTCCAAACTTGGTTTAGGCTTTAGAGGGGCAGGGATCAGAGGGACCGAAGATCTTGGGAATAAAAATCATGGATGACCATGTGTGGGCACACAAGGAGCTCCATCATAATTCAGAAAATTCCTTCAGGGATCAGCTCTGCTCACAGACACTGGGAAAAACAGGGAGTAAGAGCTGTTAAAAACCTGCAGGGTCCAGGAGACGCCAGCTCAGCTAAGGGAGAAATTTGGCAGCAGCTTTCTTAGCCCCGAAAACATTAAGGCAGGCAGCAAATCTTGTTCAGGAAGCCAACGTTCCACCCCAAGAAACCCACCCCGAGACCAGCAAGAGGCAGCTCTCAAGTTAACCAGACATTTATTAGCATTTCTGGAGGTGCAGAGGGTGTTCCAGTACAACAAGCAACGAGGTCACACACGGGTGATGGAATCATTTCATATTCAAGCAGAGCAGGTTCCACTGAGTTGCTTTATTTCTTCCATTCGTTCTTGTCAAAATCCCACTGGGCTGTGATGCCCTGCACGGGGTTAACCCTCATGTCCAACATCCTCTTGGTCTGAGCTGACAGCCACTCGTCGGAGAAGGTGTGCGGGACAGGGCCGTACACTGCAGGATGGGAGGGAATTAGGGAATTATGTCCTCAAGCCACCTCAGCAAGTTGGGAATTTTGGGCTAAGTTTTGCTAATAAAAAGGATTTTCCCCCCGCTGAAGTTATCCCAATGGAGCAGGTTGCCCCAGAGAAGCTGTGGCTGCCCCTGCAAGTGTCCAAGGCAAGGCTGGATGGGGTTTGGAGAAACCTGGGACAGTGGGAAGTGTCCCTGGCCATGGATGGAGGTGGAATGGGATCATCTTCAAGATCCCTCCCAACCCAAACCAGCCTGTGATTCTGTGATCCGTTCCCATCTCCACTCCCTGCACGCAGCATCTGCAGCATCCAGCTCAAACCACACTCCCACATGGATTCTCCAGTGGTTTTCTCCATCACCAAGATAACAGCTTCCTGCTTTCCTATTTTTGGGAGCCTCAAGGCAGGGAGCAGCTCCTTTAACTGCTGCTCTGCCTCCCGGCAGCTGGAGGCTCCCTGGAGGCTGAATCCTTAGCTGGGAAGGCAGCCAAACGTGGCAGAAACCCAAATGCTCACCACCCCAGGCAGCAAAAGAGGGGAAGCTCTGGGATCAGGAATCTCACCACTCATTCCCTTCCATTTCCTGTCCTCCCAAATTTCTCTGAGTCAGCTTCCTGAGTATTTCTGCTACATCCCCACGAGTTACAGCTCCAGGATGGAGTTTTCAGGGACTAACAGACAATGGAATCCCCTGTTCTGGCTGTTCCATAAACCAGCCTGGCCCCACAGAATTCCCATCAGGCATCTCCTGATCCCACTCTCCATGGAAGAGTTACTTACTGAAGTGCTTCTGCCAGATGAGGACGAGTCCAGTGAGACCAAGGAAGAACAGAACTCCCCCCAGGATGGTTTTCCACTCGTTTGTCCCTTTTTTCATCTCTGCGTAGGTCTCGTTGAATTTTATCCGATACACTGGGGAAAAAAAAGTATCAAATCCCCTCTTTTATCTTTTCCTGGGATTTGCAGGTGGCCAGGAGTCTGCAGAGGGAGGTGAACAAAGCCTGAGGCTGCCCAAAAGGGGATGGATGTTAAATTAGGTGTGGCACACACCAAAGCCAATCAGTTGTTTCACCCCCACATCAATTTTAGTCTCCATTTTACAGATTATCCTAAATTGGGCACAGATTACAGTATAGACCTGAAAGAAGGAAAACTGGGAGTTCTCCTTCCTCCCCTCCAATTCCCAGTGTGGTTACTGACCCCAAAGCTTCCTAGCACAAATAATTCCAACAGGAATGTTTCGAGCTCAGCTGCCACTGAAATCCGCAGGAATTCAAAATCCAAAGCAACAGAAAATTTGGAACAATTCCTCTTTTAAACCTTTCCCAGATCAGGTTCTCCCTTCATAACATAACAGCAGCTAGAAAAGATGAGGCAATTTTATTTGCAAGTCAAAACACCCACAGGGAGCCTCCACAGGGTGGAATTTGGTTCATGCCAAGGTCAGTGGTTATTAACATTCAGATCCACGTTTGTGTTTGGGGCTCACTTCACCCAGCTGGACTGACAATGGCACGGTGTTGTACTGAAGAGATTTTTTTATTTCCTGGCTGGCTGAAAGCAGATGGGAATCAAGAAATAAATCTGATTATTATTTGGTTTCTGGAAGAGGAAGGAATGGCTGAATGTGACCTCAGATATGGAACAGAAGCCACAGCAGGGGCATTGCATGTTTTGTAACAGCACCAAAGATCTTGGGAATAAAAATCATGGATGTCCACGTGTGTGCACACAAAGAGCTCCATCGTAATTAAGAAAATTCCTACATGGATCAGCTCTGCTCACAGAGGGAAAAACAAGGATTAAGAGCTGTTCCAAGCATGGCCTGCAACAAAAATCTGTCAAGACTTCTGACAAGGGCCTGGAGTGCCAAAACAAAGGGAATGGCTTTGAGCTGAGTGGGTTCAGTGGGATTTTGGGAAGGAGTTGCTCCCTGTGAGGGCGGGCAGGCCCTGGCTCAGGTGCCCTGGATCCCTGGCAGCGCCCAGGGCCAGGCTGGACAGGGCTGGTGGAACGAGGTGATCTCCCAGCTCCCTTCCCAGCCGAGCCACTCCACCCACAGATGGACACGGTGGTCCCTGCGAGCCCCCCAGACCTACATTCCACCTTCTCATCCGCGGACAGGGCGCTCCACGACGCCTTCTCCTTCTCCTTGAGCGCGCGCTGCTGCGCCGACAGGTCCCTGACGAAGGACACCTCGGGCAGGGGCACGTCCCGGCGGTCCACGTACGCCGGCAGGGTGTAATCCTCAGCCTTGACCACGCCAGCTGGGACACGGGGACATGGGGACACAGGGACGTGGGGACACACACGGGGACACGGGGACAAGGCACAGGGACAGACACGGGGACATGCATGGGCATTGACATGGGGACAGACACGGGGATGGACACAGGGACAGACACAGGGACAGACACAGGGACACACACAGGGACACACACAGGGACACACACAGGGACACACACAGGGACATGGTACGCACACGGGGACACACAAAGGGACAGACAAAGGGACAGACACAGGGACATCCATGGGGATAGACACAGGGACAGACACGGGGACAGACACAGAGACAGATGCAGGGAGACGGGGACAGACGTGGGGACACAGGGACAGACATAGGGACACACACAGGGACACACATGGGGACAGACACGGACAGACACAGAGACAGATGTAGGGACACATATATGGGGACACACGGGGACAGAGGGACACACAGAGGGACACACACACGGGGACACGGGAACAGACATGGGGACACACAGGGACAGATGCAGGGACAGACAAAGGGACATGCATGGGGATAGACATGGGGACACACACAGGGACAGACACAGAGACAAATGCAGGGACACGGGGACAGACATAGGGACACACAGGGACAGACATAGGGACACACACAGGGACACACACGGGGACAGACACGGGGACAGACACGGGGACAGACACAGGGACAGACACGGGGACAGATGCAGGGACACACATATGGGGACACACACACAGGGACAGTGACACACACAGGGACACAGGAACAGACACGGGGGGACACACAGGGACAGATGCAGGGACAGACACAGGGACAGACACAGGGACACACACACACAGGGACAGGGACACACAGGGACACAGGACAGTGGTTACACAGAGCTCTGCCTGCTCCCAAGTCAGGAGCCAGCAGTGCAAAGGTGCAGCACTGCAGGGAGGGGTGGCAGGGCTCAGGAGAAACGCTGCGCTGCCAGCATGAAAATGGAATTGCAGGATGGATTGGGATGGACTGGGATGGATTGGGAAGGGCCTTAAAGATCATCCCATCCCATGGAGGGACACCTCCCTCTCTCCCAGGGATCCAGGGCAGCTGGGGGGACAAAAGGAGCTCAGGGGGCTCTCCTGGATCTGTACAGCTCCTGCCAGGAGGGGACAGGGAACAGGGACAGGAGCAGAGGGAACGGCCTCAGGCTGGGCCAGGGCAGGCTCAGGGTGGACAGCAGCAGGAATTTCCCCATGGAAAGGGGGGGGTCAGGGATTGAAGTTTGGAGTGCCCATCCCTGGAGGTGTCCCAGGAATTCCTGAGGTGGCACTCAGAGCTCTGGGCTGGGGACAAGGTGGGGATGGGGCACAGCTGGGACTCGGTGACCTTGCAGCTTCCTCCCACCTGGATGATCCCATGGCTGTCATTCCTGCCACCTCCCTCCACCCCAACCCTGCCCTCACCCACAGCCCCCCCAGGGCAGATTTCTGAGCTCCCCCCTCCAGGCTGTGTTTTATTGCCCCCGACCCACCGTGTCCATGTGCCCTGAGGCACAGGGAGGTGGAGATGGATCTCCTCCCGACCAGGCTGAACACTCTGGAAGCCAACATCCTGCAGGGGCAGGCAGCAACAGTCAGGGCCCGGGGTGAAATAAGAACATTTCTCACGAGTTTTTATATATATATATATATATAAAAACAAATACAGCCTAAAGATTTCCTGCTCCTTCTCCAGGGGGCAGCACACCACTCCATGCTGGAGAGGAGATTTAGGGGGATGTTCTCCCACTAAACCGATCTGGATGAGCCTTTCTCTCCCTGTTTTTAACCCGAGCCTCCTGCACTGGAGGCAAAGGACATTGGCTTATCTAAACCACCCTTCTAGGACGCTGAAATTCCAAAATAAACCGTTCCTGGAGCACCAAGCACATCCCAGAGCCACTGCAGCGACCCCCGAGCAGGGAGCATCCCCGGGAAGGGCGGGATGCCGACAAGGGATTCCCACCCACACGGGATCCCGGATCCTCCGCTGACCCCAGCCCGGCCCAAAGCCGCGCAAGCTCCCGCCAGGACCCTCTGTCTGCCCCTGCCCTTGCCCTCCCTGCCTGTCACCTCAGTCCCGCCCGACATGTCGCGACACCGCTGACAGACCCCGCGGGAGGGGTCGCAGCGCTGCCCCATCACAGCCCTCCCCGCAACCCCCAACCCACGCTGCCGCGCCAGCCCGGCCGTGGATAGGGATGGCGGGGGGGCTCCGTTCTCCCTCCCAGCCCGCTCCCAGCCCGGCCCCTGGCTCCTCCGGGCCCGGCCCGGCCTCACGACCTGGCGACCGTCCTCTACGGCTGGCGGGACCGGAAGGAGCCGCAACCGGAAGCGCGGGGCACGCCGGGAGCGCGGGGCAGCGAGCGGGCCGGGCCGGAGCGGCCCCGCGCGGGGGCTGATGGGATGCGGGCGGACCGCCGCTGGAGGTCTATTCCGCATTCCCAAAATCCCGGGATGTCTGAGGGTGGGAAAGAGCTCCGGGATCATCGAGTCCCACCTGTGCCCCATCTCCACCTTGTCCCCAGCCCAGAGCTCTGAGTGCCACCTCAGGAATTCCTGGAACACCTCCAGGGATGGGCACTCCAACCCTCCCTGGGCAGTTCCAATCCCTGCCCCCCCTTTCCATGGGGAAATTCCTGCCGCTGTCCACCCTGAGCCTGCCCTGGCCCAGCCTGAGGCCGTTCCCTCTGCTCCTGTCCCTGTTCCCTGTCCTCTCCTGGCAGGAGCTGTGCAGAGCCAGGAGGGCCCCCTGAGCTCCTTTTCTCCAGGCCGAGCCCCCTCAGCTCCCTCAGGATTCTCCATCCCTTTCCCAGCTCCCTCAGGATTCTCCAGCCCTTCCCAGCTCCCTCAGGATTCCCAGCCCCATTCCAGCTCCCTCAGGATTCCCCAGCCCATTCCCAGCCCCGTTCCCTTCCCTGGCCACGCTCCAGCCCCTCAGGGTCCTGTGAGGGCCCGGAGGTTCCAGGTCTGGAGCCCAGAGCGGCCAGAGCAGGATGGAAAACACTGAGGGGATGGAAAACACCAGCGCCAGCCGGGACAAACGCGGCCCAGGCGTCGCTGAACTCATTTTATTCAAAAACGCTTTTTCCTTTATTGTTTGGGATGCCCCATCCCTGGAAGTGCCCAGGGGCAGGCTCGGAGCGGCCTGGGCCAGGGAAAGGTGTCAGGGGTGGGAATGGAGGATCTTTAGGGCCTTTCCAAGCTGAGCCATCTGCGATTCACAGGGACGCGGAGGGGACGGGCCGCAGGCTGGACGGCAGCATCCCGGAGATCCTTTCCAACCCAACGATCCCAGAGATCCTTCCCAACCCAACGATCCCGGAGATCCTTCCCAACCCAGCGATCCCGGAGATCCTTTCCAACCCAATGATCCCGGAGATCCTTTCCAACCCAACGATCCCAGAGATCCTTTCCAACCCAGCGATCCCGGAGATCCTTTCCAACCCAACGATCCCGGAGATCCTTCCCAACCCAATGATCCCGGAGATCCTTTCCAACTCAACGATCCCGGAGATCCTTCCCAACCCAGCGATCCCGGAGATCCTTCCCAACCCAATGATCCCGGAGATGTTTTCCAACCCAACGATCCCGGAGATCTTTTCCAACCCAACAATCCCGGAGATCTTTCCCAACCCAACGATCCCAGAGATCCTTTCCAACCCAACGATCCCGGAGATCCTTCCCAACCCAATGATCCCGGAGATCCTTTCCAACTCAACGATCCCGGAGATCCTTCCCAACCCAATGATCCCGGAGATGTTTTCCAACCCAACGATCCCGGAGATCTTTTCCAACCCAACGATCCCGGAGATCTTTTCCAACCCAACAATCCCGGAGATCTTTCCCAACCCAACGATCCCAGAGATCCTTTCCAACCCAACGATCCCGGAGATCCTTTCCAACCTGACAATCCCAGAAATCTTTTCCCACACAATGATGCCACAGGTTTTTCCCACACAATGATCCCAAAGATCTTTTCCCACCTGACAATCCCAGAGGATTTTCCCACATGATGATCCCAGAGATCATTTCCAACCCGACAATCCCAGAGATCATTTCCAATCCAACGATCTCAGAGGTTTTTCCCACACGATGATCCCAAAGATCTTTTACCACACGATGATCCTGGAGGTTTTTCCCACACAATGATCCCAGAGATCTTTTCCCAGAGATCTTTTCCAACCCCATTATTCCAGAAGTTTTTCCCACACGATGACCCCAGAGATCTTTTCCCAGAGGTTTCTCCCATCTCATGATCTCAGAGATCTTTTCCCAGAGATCTTTTCCCACCTCACGATCCCAGAGATCTTTTCCAACCTGATCATCCCAGAGATCTTTTCCCAGAGGTTTTTCCCACACGATTATCCCAGACATCATTTCCCACCCCACCATCCCAGAGCTTTTTCCCCTTCGGGATCCTCCCACACCCCAAATCCACCCCAAATCCACCCCAAATCGCTGTCGCAAAGCCGGCCGCGCTTGGCGGCGCTTCCCGACAGCCGGCGGCGCTCGGCGGCGGGCGGGGAGCGGCGCTGGGCGGGGAGCGGGGCCGCACCGGGCCGGAGCGGGCCGGACCGCGGCCGGGGCTCGGCACCATGAAGCTGACCACGCAGGCTTACTGCAAGATGGTGCTGCACGGCGCCAAGTACCCGCACTGCGCCGTCAACGGGCTCCTGGTGGCCGAGAGGCCGCCGGCCCCGCGGCCGCCGCAGCCCGCGCTGTTCGTGGATTGCATCCCGCTCTTCCACGGCACGCTGGCGCTCGCCCCCATGCTGGAGGTGGCCCTGACCCTGGTGAGGTGTTCCCGCAGGGATGCGGGGGTGCAGGGAGGTGTTGGGGCCGTGCTGGGGGTGCCCGGGGAGGGCGCGGTGTGGAAATGCTCCAAAAACTGGGGGAGTTCTGGTGGGAGAGGTGGGGATGCTCACATGGGGAGGAGAAGGATCCAGGGAGAGCTCAGAGCCCTGCCAGGACCTGGAGGGGCTCCAGGAGAGCTGGAGAGGGACTGGGGACAAGGGATGGAGGGACAGGGCACAGGGAATGGCTTCCCACTGCCAGAGGGTGACTAAGGTGGGATTTTGGGAAGGAATTATTCCCTGGAGGGTGATGAGGCCCTGGCACAGAGCAGCTGTGGCTGCCCCTGGATCCCTGGCAGTGCCCAAGGCCAGGCTGGATGGGCTTTGGAGCAGCCTGGGATGGTGGAAGATGGAGTGGGATGAGCCCCTCCAACCCAAACCATCCCATTATTACATGACTGTGAGCAAAACAAGATCCGTCACTTCTTGATACCATTAAAAATAACAAATTTCTGGTTCCTCCAGACTCGCCTTTAATGTTTCCCTCAGTGTTTTTCATCCCAGTAAAGATTTTATTTGGAAACAAATTCCAGTTCCTCCTAAATGAATTCCAGTTTTCTGCAGCTGAGATGATGCCATGGCAATGTTGACATCTTTGTGGAGCCTAAAGTGATGAAATGCAGCCAGAGGCACAGGACAGGAGCTGATCCTGAGCCCTGACCACTTACTTTTACCATTAAACACCCCAAATGTATCATTTTAAATATATTTACAGCAGTGTGGGAGTAGCACTGAGCACAGTGTGTTTTCATTAAATCAGAATTAAATGTCTTTCCACAGGGTTTGTGGCACTGAATTTTGGTAATTTAGGCCTTCAGTGCAGCTTTTTAGTGCAGCTCTTGCAGCAGGATCAGATTATTAGGAAATAAATCCTGTTTCTTGCAACATCTGCAGCAAGAAAATTTTCCCAGAGCCAAAGCAATGGCAGGACTTTACTTATTTACTCCCAGGTTTTGGTACAAAAAGGTAAAGATTGGAAACTCCTGGTGTTTCCCACAATAATTAGGGCTCTGTCACTGCTGTGACCCTTTAAAAAACAGAATTTTACAAGAGCCCAGGGCCTTTTGCTGCTGTTCTGGGTTTAAACAAAGGCAAAGGTGTCAGTAAATCCTGTCAGAGCAGCTGTGAAAATTGGATTTTCTCACGGAAAAGGTTGGAAGGAGGTGATCCCGCATCTTCTGTACAAGCTGGAGTGTGGATCCAGGATAAATCTGGGAGATCAGGGTGCTTAAACTCCATTTTTGTGGCAAAGCAGCTCCATTCCTGAAGGGTTCCACAGCTGTGGCAGGATTTAATGGGATCTGCTCCTTCCCAAGCTCAATTATTGCTGATTCTTGGTGGAGGTGGCCCTGTGGGAGGGGTTTTGGAACCAACCCCCCAAGTTCCACCTCCTCTTCCCTGCCCTGAGTCATCCCGGAATGGGATGGCAGCAAAAAGGTACAAAATAGAGGAGGGACTTCCAGACTTTGTGGCTTTGCCTCCTAAAACTTTTAGGGAGTACAAGGAATGAAAAAGCCAAACAGCACCTCCAGAGGGTGGTTGGGCACCGAATTCCCCAGGGAATGTTCACATTCCCAAAGTCCCAGAGCTCCAGGAGCGTTTGGGCAGTGCTGCCAGGCGCGGGGAGGGATTTTGGGGTGTTGGATTGGGGGTCCCTCCCAGCTCAGGACATTCCAGGACCCTCTGATTTCCCGAGGCTGGCAGCTCCAGAGGGCAGAGCAGCAGCTCCTGTGTTTAATTTGCACTCTGAAATCCTTCCCCAAGCCAGAGTCATGAAGAAAAAGTGAATTAAGTTGCACTCGAGCCTCTGAATTTCTCTGCTAATTGATGTGGTTTTACAACCACAGCTCCAAAAAGGAGAAACCGAGGAGCACTTCCCTCTCCTGGAACGGCTCCTCCTCCTCCTCCTCATTTTCCTCCTCCTCCTCCTCCTCCTCCTCCCAGGGTTTTCCAGCCCTGGTGGCTGCAGCAAACCAAAGCCACTTTGGATTTTTCCTTGGCAGGACTGGATGTGACTAAAAATATTTCCAATATTAAAAATATTTCTACCATTAGAAATATTTCTAACACTAAAAATATTTCTGATGCTAAAAACATTTCTAACATTGAGAATATTTCTACCATTAAAAATATTTCTAACATTAAAAATATTTCTGATATTCCTAACAGGAGCTAATTGCTGTAGGATACCTGTGGGAACAGTGCTGGGCTTGGAAATTACAGCTGGAAACAGCTTTCATTCCAAAATGGGATTTTTTTTCCCCCCTTTGTTTTATGCAGAAGCAATTTTTAATTACCAGTTAGGAAAGTGAGAACTTAAAATCATTCTCTTCTATCTTTTCAAGACAATTTTTGGTAGGGAACAAAAATGGATTTAGGACTGCGGTTTTTAATTTTTAAATGGATGGAGTTGGGGTTTTTTTTAATAATTATTATTGTTATTAATTTTACTGCCTGGGCTGCTGGCTCTAATGCCAAGCTTTCAAACCACTAACAATTAAAACCAGAGTCCTAAGCCCTCAAAATGGGTTTGGAATTGAAACAGCAGCTCTTGCAGGGCTGCACAGCTTTTTTTTTTTATCACTTAAATCCTTGTCATCCCTTGGATTATTCACATGGCTGCTTTGTTTGGTTGGTTCTGCAGTCTAATACAATAATTATTGCTGAAAATGAGATTGATTTGACTCCCAGGATGCCACAGGTCAGCACCAGATGTATTTTTGGAGGCCTTTTTAATAGAGCTGGGGAAGGTTTTTTGAGGCCGTGCTCTCTAGGGACTGCAAAGGAAAATTCGAGCTGCTTCCTCCCCTTCTGTCTTTGTGTTTTGCTGACTGGATATCCTCAATTCTAATAAAAAACATCGTATATATATATAGATACCATGTATATATATATAGATAGATATTTTCAAAGTCAGACTCAGCAGGAGGAATTCAGCTCCAGTTTAAAGCAGCAAGAGCAGCAGTGTTTCAATTCATTTAATTAAAAAGCAACAACCAACAAAACTACCTAAGTTCAAATCAAAAATTGTCTAAATTATATGCCAAAAGTACATCTGGTAAAGCATTTACATGGAGATGTTAAACAAGGAAGAACTCTCAAATGAAAACAATTTTATCTCAATTGAGAAGCTACTAAGTGGGACAAACTTCTGCCTCACATTCACCTTTCACCTCAAGCTTTTATTTTCTAAAGAAGGCCCCAAATGGTGGCATTTTCCCCTAGAAATGGGACATTAGCAGTAAAACCTTTCTGCAAGGACAGGGCAGCATTCTCTGAAGTGCCTTGGCAGGTGAGCACTGACAGAAAATTGTCCCGGCCATTGGTGGGTGAGACCCAGCCCCTCTCCAGGCTGAGTTTAATTGTCCTGTCACTGGGATTTAGGCCAGGCTTTGACTGAGCCAGCTCCTTGCTCTTTTGCTCCATTTGGTTAATGCTTCCCATCATCCTCCAAATGCTCTGCTGGGTTTCTCCATCCCAGCTCAATCAGCCCAACTGCGAGCACTCCCACACCCAGACAGAAATGTGGATTTATTTCAAGAACCCCGTGGCAGCGATGGAGCAACCGCTTTATTTACAGGGCAGCCATGAGATTTCCTTCATCCTGGCTTGTTTTATTTTTTTTTCTTGATCCTGGTGGGTTTTTCCCCTAGGATTTATTGTTCCCATTGCTTTTCCAGATTGATTCCTGGTGCAAGGAGAACAGCTACGTGATAGCTGGATATTACCAGGCGAACGAACGCGTGAAAGATGCCAGGTGTGTTGGGCCAATATTTCCTTCTGTTTGCTCTTTTATCTCGTACCTTGGACTCTGCCAGCAGCAATCATCCCCATAAATCAGGCGTGTGTGATTCCCTCTGACAACTGTCAGCTGCTTCCACATTGTCTCCGTGGGGCTGCGGGATGTGGCCTTTGGTCAGGTGCAGAAAGCCCTGGCTTTGCAGAATCCCTGCTCTCCTCCCGTGGCTGCTATAAAAGGCCACTCTTTGAACCAGTGCCAGCTTCTTGAATTGCAGTTGTCAGGGAAAAAGCCAAAATCTGCAGAGTGTTTGCTCGTGCAGTATGGATCTTGGAAAGTCTGGCGACTCCCAGGATCTTATGGAAAGTCAGGAGTGACCTGATTCTTTCTAAATTTCCTCATTGTCACTGAGTTTTTTCAGAGCAGTTTTTTATGTGGTGAAGAAGTGGAAGATGATGTCAGTCAGGCAGTGATATCTCTTATTTATCACTTCTCTTCCTCAGGATTAGTCATTTTTTTCCCTGCTGGTGACTCAGATTACTCACTAAACAATAAGGAACCTTCCTGTGGAGCCACAGTTTAATTTTAGATCTGTGTATTCCATGTTTTCCCCTCTTATCTGTTGGACAAATCCAGGACTGGGACTAATTAGAATAAGAGCAACTTGTTTAAAGTGTTATGCCCCATCCCTGGAAGTGTCCAAGGTTGGATGAGGCTTGGAGCAACCTGGGGTAGTGGAAGGTGTCCCACCCATGGCAGGGGATGGGATGAGAGGATCTTTAAGGTCTCTCCCAACCCAAACCATTCCACGATGCTCTGATTCCAGTTATTTGCTAATGTCTATTCAGACTCAATTAGGTTTTTTAAGGATCACTTGTGACTTCTAAGGATAAAAGCATTATTTGTCCTTTCCTTATAAATCTGCTGAACACATTTTTAAGGAGAAGTTACAGTTTTTTCTCTTTGAGGAATATTGATATTGAAAGAATATCACAGGCTTGATGGTTTTTTGAAAGTTCAGTTTGAGTTCTGAAGACAACTGGCACCACACAGAGATTGTCAATGGCACCACATTAAGTGGCACCACATAGAGATTGTCACCTTTGAGATGTGCTAAAGGTTGTCACAGGTTATCTGATTTTGGACAAGTTTTCAGTGCAGACTGGGGAGTAAACTCAATTTCTTTTTTAAATGCCTGCCAGGGCAGAGTCTGTGATCTGGGGGAAGAAGACAGGAGGCCACCAAATGTTGATTCCATGTCATTCCAAAGCCGTTCCTAAACCCAGCTGAGCTCCAGTTCAGGCGCTGCAGAGCCTTCTATCAGCTGTGGCATCAGCTCCTTTATCTTGTTCCTGTTTGCAAGCACTCAGAGTCACTCTCACATCTCTCTGAGCTCATTTCCTGCTGCTTTCAGCTGAAACTTGTGGCTCCCATCACTCAGTTCCTTTTCCTTTCTGCTCCAGCCCAAACCAGGTCGCAGAGAAGGTGGCCTCCCGGATTGCCGAGGGTTTCACGGACACTGCGCTCATCATGGTAAAGAACTTCCTTCCCCTCACCCCCTGTGTGTTCTGAGCCTGCTGCTGGACCAGGGAAATGCTGTTCTCTGCCTGCTTTCGTGAGGAGTTCAGTTTCTCTTCCCCTCCAAAATGCTCTGGGGAGGAGATGAAACGAGCAGTGAAATGCTGTGTAAATTCACAGAGAGACTGTGGTGAGCTCTCTGCCACCTCAGAAGAACTGGGGGCTTTCTCTGCATGTTCAGGCAGCAATTTCTTGTTCCAGCCCACCTCCTGCAACTTAAATTCTTATGTTTAATGTCACAAACTGGGCTTTGCCTCCTCACTGCTGTGACAAAGGACACTGGCAGCTTACATGTGTCAGTTTGAGGGTAAAACAGTGGGTGGGTGTAGAATACCCTGTTTCTACAAACTGATTTGGGGTTTGTTTCCTCTCTTGGGATGCCAAGGAGGAGACTGAGGTGGTGTTTATGTCCCACCCCAGGTTGACAACACCAAGTTCACCATGGAGTGTGTGGAGCCTGCCATCCACGTGTACGAGCTGCACGAGAACAAGTGGAGGTGCAAGGACCCCCACGTGTGAGTGAACCAGGAATTCCACGGGCTTTGGGGAAAAAACAGGCTGTCCTTGGAACTCCATGGGCTTTGGGGAAAACCAGGCTGTCCTTGTGAGGTCTCTGCAGCCTGGCTTCATTTAAAGTTTTTCTGTGGTGATTCCTGTCAGTTTCTCTGGGTCTGGATTGAGGGCACCGGGGACAGGAGTTCACATTTGGACTCAGGTGTTTATTATTTCTTATCAGTGAAACAGTCTCACAACCATGAGTTCAGCAGCCTTTCATTAGAAGGCACAAAATGGCCAACAATCTCTTGTTATAAAGTCTTTTAAGACTAAACTATCCAATTAAGAAAGGACACCTAGATTATTTTCCCTTTTAACCCAATAACTGATCCCAAAGAGCCCACAACGTGGACTTTCCTGTCCAATTACAAAACATCACCCAAACCCACGGAGAAGGAGGAAGAAGGTAAAGAAGAAGAACAATCAGCCTCCACCCTAAAACCTCAATCTTTCTTCATATTTATTTTTATATTCTAAAACCCCAAACTTTAAGTTTTCCACCAACTCCACACCCGTAATCCCAGTACTATCAATTAATTTTGGAATCCTGTTCCACTGCCTCAGGTCCAATGCAGTATTCTCTTGTGGGTCTGTCCCTTTCGGCACAGAAAGTTTAAAATTCTCAGCATCCAGGATTCCAGCAGATTCCAACTGATTCCTGGCTCTTTTCCATCCTAGCGACTTCTGTGAAGACTGGACGGAAGCCCAGCGAATCGCTGCCTCCCTGCTGGACAGCAAGTCCTACGAGACACTGGTGGATTTCGATAATCACCTGGATGACATCCGCAACGACTGGACAAACCCGGAGATCAACAAAGCTGTGCTGCACCTGTGCTAGGAGGGACCCTCCTGACTAATCCACGGGCATTCCCACTCTGTACTGAAGAGAGAAAAATGCTATTTTTGAATGTAAACAGAATTCATATTCAGTACCTTGTGTGGAAAGCTGACTGATTAAAGAGGAGTGGCCTCTGTGTCCGTAAAGCCGCGGAATGTTGGTGGTGACATTCCCTGGAAGAGCTGCCAGCTGTCACTTCCAGCTGTCCTCGTGGACGCCATCCCACTTGTAGTGAATGTTGCTATTCCTTGGAAACCAGAACTGCTTCTGCTTGGCCCTCACTGTTCCTATTCCAAAGTTTTGACTTCAGCTTTTCTAATCTTTAGAGAGGTTACTTTTTAATGATTTCTGGAAATACCTTTCCAAAAACAGTCTTGGAGAGGGATGGGGCAAGGCTAAAATCCCATTTGCAGCAGGGAATAGACCCTGGATGCCCCCAGGCCGTGGAGTTCCCTCCAGGTGAGATTCCACGGGGTGAGGTGGGAGGGAGGAGAGGAAGCTTTGGGCACTTTGGTTTTTATCTCCCTGCTGTGCACGGGTGAGGTGTGATTACCAAAGAGGTTGGCACCGAGTCAAGAACCTTCCCTAGGCTGAGTCAGCCTTGCAGGAGAGGGAAATGTTTTCACTTGTTGACTGAAAACATGTATTTAGCTCCCCAAACCAGCCAGATAACACATTCCAGTGGCTGCTCCACTCCATGTCTGTAGGAAAAGATATCCCCGGAGCAGAATGCAAAGCACCCAGGCTGCAGGAAGAGGACTTTGTACAAACACCCAGTGAAATCCAAGGTATTGTTCCAGAGGCAGATCGTTATCTTAGCCAGATTCCTCTTCTGGGGTTGTCAGAGGGAGCTGCTGAGTCTCCTGAGCCACAGGAAATGTGTTTCTTGTTCTTTGTAACAGCATCTCCTAATCAAGCTTTGATCATAAATATGCAAATTCAGGCTAATCCTGCTCCCCCTGTTAGGCAGTTTGTCTCCTCAGTGTGTAACCTGCTGGAATATTCCCTGTGACTAACCTGGGACACGCTGCTGGAAGGGGAGCAGCTTTTAGTGCTTTGTCTTCCCCTTTTTTAATCTTCTCTTTGCTTTCAAATGGGGATTTTTTGCCACCAGCAGAAGCTCAGGCTGGCTTTGAGCAAAGAGGACAAACCTGCAGATCTTATCTCCCCTGGCCTATTTGCATTGAAGGTTGGACAAAAGCAGCAATTCCATAAATCCAGGCTCTCCTGGAAGAATGAGGAAGCTGCAGGGCTCAGGGAAGGCTGCGTTCCCTTTCCTGCTCATGTGCCCCGAGCAAATGCTGCTTTCCTGGCTGGTTGATCTCCTGGATTCAGGGCAGGAATTCCAGGTAATTCCTTTTAAAATGTCAGGGGGAGGAAATCTTGGGGAAGGCATCTCTTGCTGAGAGCTGGGAAGGCAGCACTGGGAATGTGTGTCCTACTCTTTTTCAGTTTGTTAGCAATTAATGACTTCCAGGATTAACTTTTTTCTCCCTATCCACCAAAATTTGGAGATTTGGCATTTGCTTGCCCAGATGTTTTTTTCACTCCCAACTTTTTACTTCATCCACACGACCTGAAGCATTTGGAAAAAAGAATCCCTGAATGGTTTGGGTGGGAAAAGATCTTAAAATCATCCCATTGCACCCTCTGCCATGGGCAGGGACTCCTTCCACTATCCCAGGTTGCTCCAAACCCCATCCAGCCTGGCCTTGGACACTTCTAGGGGTCCAGAAGCAGCCACAGCTTCTCTGGGCACCTGTGCCAGGGCATCAGCGCCCTCACAGGGAACAATTCCTTCCCAAAATCCCATCTAAATCTCCTCCCTAGCAGTGTCCCTCCATCCCTTGTCCCCAGTCCCTCTCCAGCTCTCCTGGATCCCCTTCAGGTCCTGGCAGGGCTCTGAGCTCTCTCTGGAGCCTTCTCTCCAGGTGAGCACCCCCAGCTCTCCCAGCCTGTGGGATTCTCTTTTCCCCGCTCAACCCGATTTTCCAGAACAGTGACAAACATCCCCACAAGCAGATGGGTGACAGGAGCCACAGAATCCCTGACCAGCTGTTCCTGGGGCACTCACAAGTGAGGTCCCTGCTCCCAGGGAATGCCAGCTCCCACATTCTCCCTGAGCTCATCACTCTGTGTGTCCATACGAGGATTTGGGGAAGTTTTTTCCCCATCCAACAAGCAAAGCAGCCTGCTGCTGACATTTTCCCCCTTCCCATCTGCTCCTGGGATGTTCCCTCCCCGAGGAAAGCGAGCAGAGATGTACCAGCTCCAGCTCTTGGAGCTGACGCGGGAGCAGGTGAGCGGTTCAGAGATCACCTGGCACAGCTGGAGCCAGGAGCAGACAGATGTGCAGAGCCCACCCCAGCCGTGAGGGGCGGCCCCCTGCCCCCAAGAATTCCTCCAGCGAGTGGCAGAGGAGGAGAGGTGACAGATGCAGGAAGCAGTGCCCGGTCTCTCTGCTCCCTGGCTCCCGGCCTAATCGCTGCACTCCGAGCTGGAGATGCCGGTGGAGGAGGGCACTGCCAGGGGGAGCTGGGCCGATGCTAATGGAGGAGGCTGTTAGTGGGGTGGGCTTGCGGCTGAGTGCAGCCTGGAAAATGGCCTCGAGGGGAAATGTGAGCTCTGCTTCTCGTTTGGGAGGAATTCATCTCCTGGAGCCCAGCTGGGGCACCCACACGAGCTGGTCCCTATTGGGCTGCTCCCCTCCCATCCTGCCCAGGCTGTGCTATTCCCAGCTGGGCTCGAACACCTCCACACATCCCAGTCCAGCAGCACAACCCCCTCCTCGCTTTCTGTGCGCCCTGAGCCAGCCCTCCCGCAGCCGGCAGCGCTTTCTGTGTGCCCAAGGAGCCGCTGAGGGCTTTATCGATTTCCCTTTTTTATTTTTTTCACTGTCGCTTTTAGACCACATTTTCACCCAGCCTTCTCCTTCGAAAGTCCACCCCAGCTGCATCCCTTCCTCTTGGTTTCCAGAGGCAGATTCGGAGAGGACGCACACGGGGGGCTGGCAGGGGGGACAGCGCTCCTGCGCGTGGCACTTCCAGCCTGCCGGAGCTGGGATGAGGGAAGCAGGGAACTCTGCTCTTAAGAACACCCGGTAGGTGTGCTGGGGGTCAGGGCTCACTCCAGGAGTGCTTCCAGGCTGCTCTGGCTGCAGCACTCCGGCGGGATGCGGGCAGGATCCGTGCCAGGCATGGCCCGCTCTGCGCACAGCCAGCCCAGCCCGCCAAGGCCGCGCGGAACGCCGCCGCCCTTCCTAGAAATGCACCCTGGAGCTTAAAAGATGGACCTAATTGAAAAACTCTATCGAGGTTGTAGCAGCAGGGGATAAAAGGGAAAGCTGGGCCCAGATTAACCTGGAGCTCAGCGAGCCGGGAAGCGCGGCGGCCGTGGCCAGGTCCCTGAGCCAATTCCCGGCCGTGGCCTCCCGGCTGAATCCATGCCGGGGGAGAGGTGCCTTGTTCTGGATGCAGGAGCTCTGTGCCTCGGGAGCTCTGTGCCTCGGGAGCTCTGTGCCTCAGGTACGTGCTCGCTCCCCGCTTCCCTCCCGACCCCTCTGCAGCAGCTCCTGCCCCATCCCGCTGGATTTTCTCCGGGGGTGCTTCCAGCCCACGCGGTTCCTGCCGCTGTCTCGCTCTGCCGCTCCTGCCAAGAGCCCGTGTTTGGGGAATGCTGGAGCTGCTCCAGTTCCCCCGGAGCCTGCATCTTCAGCTGCCTCCTCGTGACATCCTCCTCCCTCCCTCCCCTCTTCCCTCCCTCCCCACGCCTGGCATCCCCTCCGGGTGCCGCTCGCCAGCCCTGGTGACTCTGGATCTCCGGGAGGGAGTTTCTTCTCCGCTCCCAGCACTGGTTGCCACTTCCAGCTCCAGCAAAGCCCCTTTCTGGGGCAGCTCCAGAGCCAGGCTGGGAGCAGCCCTCTCCCCTGCTCGGGCCAGAAGGGCCGGGGGCAGGAGGGGACAGGTGGCCTCGTTGCTCCCTTAGCACGGAGCCAGGGTGACGTGTCACCTGCGTTAGCAGACCCTGGCACTCTGTGACCCAGAAAGCTGCTTCCTCCCCCTCCCTGCTGAAAGGGGAGCCCAGCTGGTGTTTGCAGGAGCAGCTCCTGAAGGCAGCCAGCAGAGCTGCTCCGGGCTCTCCAGCCAAAGCTTTTCTTGTGGCCAGTGTTTGCACAACGCTTCCCTTGTCCCTGCGGTTCCTCTGGCGCCTGGGAAGCAGCAGCTCTCCCTGCCCTTCCCCCAGAGGGAATCTGGGAGGCTGCCCTCCATCTTCACCCCCCAGCAGGGCTTCAGCCCCAGGCCAGGATGGAGCAGGAGGGTTGGGAGAGGAGGAGGGTTGAGAGCAGGAGAGGAGCAGCCCAGTACCAAAGGGACACAGGCAGGACTGGAAACCAGCCAGTGGCCACCTCAGGGGACAGCCGGGCTCTGGGCAGCTCTGCAAGGACAAAACCCCCCCACCCCCTGAGCCCATCCTCTTCCTCCCTTGGCCAGCTGCCTCTTGGTGGGCTTTGGCCACTTGGCCTGACGTGATGCTCAGCAAGCCACAGCCCAGAGCCTTGTGACAGGAGCCAGGAACTCCTGGAAGGGCTGTGACCCTGCAAAGGGGGTGTTGAGCCCACTGGGCTGCTCCTGTTCCTGGCACTCAGCTCACCCAGCAGCGACCAGGGCCCCACGCCAGAGGGGATCCAGGCCATTCCCAGTCACCTCAAGGTGGACAACCCCCGCTTTTTAAACCTTCACAAAGGTTTTTGCTTTGTTCACCGGCCCTGGGGAGGACAGGAAGGGGTGTTTGACGCTGTGTTTGTGCCTATCAGGTGTCAGCAGAGCAGCTGGAGCTGTGCTGCACCCGCAGAACTAACCACAGGTATTTCAGCAGCCTGGTGTTTATGTTTCCCATCCCTGCTGCAGCAAGACAATCGCTTTTTGTCACTGTTGTAGCAACAACTGCTGCTCCAGGCCAGGCTAATTCCAGCCCTCGTGGGTTTGGGGCTGTTTGTTCTCACCCAGCAGCAGCAAACAGGTAGTTTTGGAGACAGGCAGTAAAACAGCTCAATGTGGAGGTGGGATTTGTGCTGCTCTGACTGGATTTGTGCTGCCAGGGAGTGACCCCTGGCTCCATGGGATGCTGCTGCTCTGAGTTTGGGATGGAGTCTGGAAAGATCAGGTTTGCCAGGCTCTGCTTCAGGACTTGTCTCTAAGTCTTAGACTTTGCAGCTGAACAGGGAAAAAATCCACATAAACCGATTAATTTGTCAGTTTTCTGGGGGAATAAAGAGAGCTGTGGGTTGCAAACGTTTCCGCTCAGAACTGTGCCCGCAGCTGGAGCTGCAGCCTTGCCCCTGTGCCACCCTCCCCACTCCTGGAGCTCTGCATAACTCAGTTATTTGACAAATCAGAGGAGTCAGATCGGGAAGGAAATCAGCTCTTCCCAGGTTTCTGATTTTCATCAGACATGGCAGGACCAAACCAGCAGAAAGTGGAGCAAACCCACCCGTTTGCTCTCCCTGCTGCCCTTCGTGCCCATCCCATCGGGGCTCTGATCCCACCGGAGCCCTCCCAAAGCTCTGGCATCAGCTCTCTGCTGATCCCGGGGTGAAATTCCAAGCTTCCCTTCCCTTCCCTTCCCCCCTGCCTCCCGCAGCCGGGGGTGTTTAATGTGCGGCCGGCGCCCCGCGTTTGAGCCGCTGCTTTTCACAGAGCCTGAAAAGGAGCCTGAAAGGGGCCTCGCCTCTTAATTGCGGAGGAGGGGGAACATGGAAAAGCCTCCTGCTGCTGCTAATGCAGGAGAAAGCGGCTGCTCCGGAGGCACAGCCTCCTCCCGGGCATCCTCCCGGCGGGGTGGGAGCCGAGCCGGAGCGCTCATCCTGGGAACGGTGAGGAAGCCGCTGGTGCCCTTCCCGCTGCCAGGCTGCCTGTGGGGCTGGGAAGGGGAAAAGATCCTTCCTGGAAGCTGGAGAAGGTGGAGCTGCTCCCAGAGGTCGGTGTCTGTTGACATCAGGACCTCAGGGATGCCGGCGGCTGGGTGTGGGCACTCACTGGCCCTTTGGGGCACTTGGTAGCCCTCAGGCTGCTTGTGGGGGTGTTGGATGCCCGGAGGCTTTGCCGGCAGCCCAGGGCGCTCCTTCCTCTCCCTCTCTCTGGGCTCTGGACCGCCTTGTGCAGCGGGGCGAGAGTAAAGCAGCCTTTCCTCATCACCCGCGGGCTTTGCCGGGCACGGACGGGCTCGGAGCGGGGGCTGGATGGGAGGAGCCGCTCACCTCATTAACCAGGTTCCCAACCAACCCCGCCAAACCCAAAGCCGGCCGGCTGCCACCTCCTGCCGCCCTCCTCCTGAGGGATCGCCCGTGCCAGCCTCCGGCACCCGGGAGCGGCCGGCGGCGCGGGGAGGGTGGGATGCGACGGCGGGCATCGCCCCTCCGGGCACCGGGTAAGTGCCACCCCCTCGGCGCCCCGGCTTTGTCCCTTTTGCCCCTTCCCAGTGCAGCCTCTGAGTGTCCCCCCTGGCCGGGCAGCTCCAGTGACGCCTGCCATGAGTGTCTGAGGCTTTTTGGAGCGTGAACTCGTCGGGATGCGAACATTTCTTTGGCCTGGTGCTGGCACACGGGAGGGAAGTTGGAGCCCCAGCAGCAGGATTCGTGCTGGATTGCTGGCAGGGGGAATTCAGCCAAATTCTGGAGCTGGAATCGGGCCCTTATCCATGGGGAGGGGGCTGATGTGTCCTCTGCAAGGGTTTGGCCACAGGGGGAGATTCCAGAGGATGAGATCCCAGAGGATGAGATTCCAGAGGATGAGATTCCAGAGGATCATATCCCAGAGGATGAGATTCCAGAGGATGAGATCCCAGAGGAGACCCCTGTGCCCAGAGCTGGGCATCCCCAGCATGACCCTACTCTGTCCCTGAGTGGTGTGAGCCACCAGCAGGTGCCAAAACCCACAGGATTTGCCTCAGAACAGATTTCTTGATATTTGGGCAGCCTCCAGGAGAGCTGCAAAGTGAGGTCCTGGGGAGGACTCCACTCCCCAGCCCTGGGGGAGGTCACAGCTCAGGCTGCACCTGGGGAACTGATAAAAATACAAAATTAAAAGCAGAGATAGCAAATTTTCACTTCCTCTTGCTGGGTGCTGCCGACCCACCTCAGGGCTTCTTGGAAAGGCAGAGATCAGGCAGGGGGGGCAGAGGCTCTCCTTGGCTCTCTGTGTGGCCCAGAGCTTGGAAGAGCCAAAATGAGTCACTGACCCTCATCCCAATAAGCTTTTCCCAGCAGCTGTGGGAGGAGGGGGAGGATTTCCCAATAAAGGGACTTTTTTGCAGAAAAATTGTCAGCATCTTGAAAAAAAATGGTGTCCCACAGTGGGAATTATCCATCCAAAAGCACTGGGGACATCAGGGATGCCCAAGAGGAGCAGGATGATGTGAATTCCAGCAGTGCATCCCAGCAGCTGCTCTGGCTCAGCCGAGGGAGGCAGCTCTGGGATCATCCCTCTGTTTCCCCTGGGTGGGCTCGGGGTTTTCTCTCCAAGAACCAACCTAAAACCAACCCAGTTCCTCCTGCTCCCAACCTTCTCATCCCGAAATATTTTCAGCCCAGAGCCCAGGGGTGGAGAAGCTGGGATGGGACCAGCACCCAGCACCAGGCTCCTTCTCCACCCTCCCAAAAAGTTCTTCCTGGACCTCACCGGGCCAGATTGAGTCACCCGAGTGCCGTGACATCACTGGTGGTTTTGTGAGCGAGCAGCCGCGTTTCCTGTGGCTCCTGTAGACACAGACACGCAGGGAGAGATGTGAGCTTTCAGCTCCTGCTCCTTCCTCCCCCCAGGATCGCTTCCCTCAGCCCTCTCCTCTCTTCCCCAGCGCCAGCGGCGAGGGCCGGCGGCGGAGCTGGAGAGCTGGATCCCGCTGAGAGGATGAAAACATGGGGCTCAAGTTATCCTGCCTGAAAGGTGAGCTTGGGGCAGGGGTTTGGGGTGCTGCTGCTCCCTGGAGGCTCCTGAGGGATGGTTGTACCCTGGGAGGAGGTTTAGGTGTGGGCGGGTTGGGTGGAGTTTGGGAATGTGGTGGAATTTCTGGAGTCCCACGGGTGACCTGTTGCGCCTGGATCACCCCAAAGAGGATTTTCCCAGCTTTATTTTTCCCAGCTTTATTTTCCCAGTCCTGTGCATGTCCTGCACCCTTTGCTCTGGAGAATCCATGGGTTGAGGGCAGCCCTCCATAAATCAGGTGGGTTTCCTCGGAGGCAGGAGAGGGCTGCTCAGGGACACGTGGGTGGGATGCAGGGCTCAGCCCAGAGCCTGGCTCCCAGCTCCCGGCCTCCAGGCTGGCCCCAAGCATCCCTCACTGCTCCACTCTCCCCAGGGATACTCCAACCAGGAGCTTCTTCCCCAACTTGAATTTTCTTAATGGATTTAGGCTGGGAATGGCGTCAGGGATGTCTGCACAGGGGCAAAGCTTTTAGTGCTGCTGGCCTCGCAGGGCGAGGGCTGGATATGGCATCTCCCATTAGCTCTGCATCCCTCTGACTCCTGCTAATCGTCCTTGGGGTCGTTAGGGATGGGGCTTAATGAGGATCCCTCTGCAGGATGCAGGGCTGCCTCTTCCCTGGCTTTTCCCAAGACCAGATTCAGTGGGATTCTCACTGTGATGGGTACAGAGTTGGATACATCACCCAAAAATGAGCTCTGCCCCCTCTCCACGTCAGGGATGTTGGGAGGGAGTGGTCAGGGGGGTTTGGGGTCTCACAACCCCCCCTGTCCAACAAGGGATAAGTGAAGAGGGGAAGCAAGCAGCCAGGGAATCCCAATCCTGCCCCAAATCCAGGACAAAGCCCCAAAATATTCCCCCATGCTTCCAGACCCCTTTGATGAGCTTGGAGCCTGGAATAAAACAAAAGACCCTCCCCCTTTTCCAGCTCCCTTACATAAGGCAGGGCTTTATCCTTAATTAAAAAGAGATTAAAAATATCAGTGTCTGTCCCCTCCGGGCATTTTCTTGCTTGGGAAGAGCTGAAACCTCCCTGGATGCCGCCTGTGCCGCATGGGGCTTTTCTCCTGATTAAAAAAAAGCAGATTAAAGCTATCTGCTCCCCTCGGAGGGGGGGTGGGCTGGGCAGGTGGTCGAGGGAGGAGGGGATCCACCTCTGAAACCCCCCCAAAATCCAAGGTGGATGCAGGGGAGGAGATGTGAGGATGCTGTGGGTTCTCCGGTGGCTCACAAAGGGTTGACACGGAGGAGGGGCGGGGAGCTGGAGGACGCTGCAGCCCTGTGCCTGATCTCCTTTTATCCCCCTTTCATCCCCCCAAATTTCCCCAGGCTTGAAGATGTGCGTGAGCAGCGGGAACGGCAGCGACGGGACCCCGACCCCGGGACAGAAGCACCTGCACGTGCCCTCCATCATCGTCACGCCTCCCACGCCCACGGGCACCACGCTGTCCCGGCGTGGGGAGGGCCCCTCGCCCTGCAGCCCGTGCTGAGGGGGGACACGGGGGACACCCAGCCCTCCAGGACCTGTCCCTGCTCCCTCGGGATGGGAGCCACAGCTCCCAGGGCGCTGCTGCAGCTGCCAGGGACACGCGGGGCACCCACACGGGTGGGTTTGGACACCAGGGATTGGATTTTGTCCCTTTTCCTGACAGCGCCGGGGAGGGGATCCCCCCACGGTGAATAAAACCCTGGGGCTCTGCACCCCAAACTTGGCTGTGTCGGCACAGGGGGGTGGGTTGTGCACCCCAAAACACGCCGGCATCACCCCGTCCGTGCCCGTGGGGGGCCAAAAGTGGGGTCCCCATCCCTCCAGGAGGGATTGAAGGATCCATTTCAGCAAACAGCAGCGGGGAAATGAACTCGGCGCCGTCACCTGCATCCCGCCGGATCGGCCGCATCCCGGCAGGGAGCCGGGGGCGATGCTTCCCGGGGAGCGGCGGCACCCGGAGCCGGCGGGAGAGGCGGGAGTGTGAAAGCAGATGGAAATTTAATTTTTTAATGACAGCAGCAGATGGCAAAAGACACGCGAGGGGAGGCGCAGCGTGGGGGAGACGCTCCTGGAGCGCCCAGCGCGCGCCGGCGGCACCGGGGCTGCTCCGGGAACGGGGGCTCGGGGACCCTCCTGGTGCCACCCGTGGTGGGGGTGGGTGGGGGGTCCCCAAGGGTTGGCTCCCACCCCAGGCTGGGGGTAACGCTCATCCCAAGGGTCGTGGATGATCTGTGGGTGGTCCCTGGGCTGAGCCCGAGGTGGTTTGGGAGAGGGACTGGGGAGAGGTGGATTTGTCTGGTGGGGAGCGTTCCATGGGGACTCCCAAATCATCCAGAAACCAACTTGGCTGAGCTGGGTGTGGGGAGGGGGATGGATGGGTGATGGATGGATGGATGGATGGATGGATGGGGAACAGAGGAAAAGGACAGGTGCGTGATGGCAGCTGCCTGAGCATGGGTGTTTGCACAGGGGGCCACTGAACAGACAGACAGACGGACACTGCTGCTGCTGCGTGCACAGGAGGGTGGTTGCTGGGGCCTGGGCACCGCCCAGGGACAGCCACACACACTCCGTGTCACCCATCACAGTCCGTGTCACCCATCACGGTCGGTGTCACCCATCACGGTCGGTGTCCCCCCTCACAGTCCGTGTCACCCATCACGGTCCGTGTCCCCCCTCACAGCCCGGGGGTCGCGGGGACCCGCGCGCGTTCCCGCGGGGCGCTGCCGCTCTCGGCCGCCAGGGAGCGGCAGTAGCTGGCACCGCCACTCCCTCGGCGCCCCGGCAACAAGTGCGAGCGCTGATTGGGCGAGAGCCCGTGGGGAGCGTCGCGATTGGTCCCCGTACCCCCATCCGGACCTCCCTCGGCGGGGCAGCGGCCAGAGCGCGCCGCGCGCAGGCCACCCAATCAGAGAGGCGTGCGCTACGGCAACAGTAGGGGACAGCCAATCAGCGTGCGCCGCGCCGCGCCAGGCCCCGCCTTCCCTGAAGACCGCGAAAACGCGCCGGGCGGCCGGAGCGGGAAGCGGTGGGCGGGGCCTGGGGGCTGCGCAGCCAATAGGGAGCGAGGGCGGGCTCGGCCCCGGTGCGGCCCCGGTTCGATCCCGGCCCGGCCCCGGTTCGATCCCGGCCCGATCCCGGTTCGGCTGCCCCGGGTCCATGGAGCCGGCCGAGGTGGAGTTCCTGGCCGAGAAGGAGCTGGTGACGATCGTGCCCAACTTCAGCCTCGACCGGATTCACCTCATCGGGGTCGGCGGGGCCGGGCTGGGCTGAGGGGGCTGGGACCGGCCTGAGGCCTTGGGGACGCGGCCGGGGGTGGCCGAGAAGGAGCCTGGGGCAGGGCAGGGGCTGCGGGGGTGTTGGGGACAGGGATTGGGTCTGGGGAATTGGGTTTAAAGGATTGGGATTGAGGTGTGGGAGTTGGGGGGGTTGGGATGGGTCTGGGGTGTTTGGGAGCAGCTGAGGGGGCTGGGACCGGCCTGAGGCCTTGGGGACGCGGCCGGGGGTGGCCGAGAAGGAGCCTGGGGCAGGGCAGGGGCTGCGGGGGTGTTGGGGACAGGGATTGGGTCTGGGGAATTGGGTTTAAAGGATTGGGATTGAGGTGTGGGAGTTGGGGGAATGAGGGAGAGGAGCTGGGGGGGTTGGGATGGGTCTGGGGAGGAGATGGGGGATGGATTTGGGATGAGGGATGGCAAGGCAGAGCGTTGGGAGAAGAGGCAGGGCAGCCCCCAGGAGGTTCGGGAGCCTCTGGAAACCCTCAGGGTGAGCCCAGAGGCTGCTGCACGTCCAGGGAATTTGTAACTCCCGGGGAGCCTCTGGGAGCTGCATGTCCAGGGAGATGGAGTTTGTAACTCCTGTGAAACACCTTGGAATAAAAGGAAAAAATTGGTTAGTCCTTCTCGAGGGAGATGAGGCAAAGTCTGAGAGCAGGAATTCTGGGAAGCAGGAGGAGGAAATGCAGGATCAAATGTTTGACTCAGGCTTTTCCAAATCCTCTGGAAACTCTCACCACATTAGCAGACAAGTTGTGTGCAGTCCAAGCCCTGGCTGTTGCCCGCCTCTCATCCTTAATTTGTTTTCCAGGGAGATCTGGGTCCCTTCAATCCTGGTTTGCCAGTGGAAGTGCCTGTGTGGTTGGCCATTAATCTGAAGCAGAGGCAGAAGTGTCGGCTCATTCCCCCAGAATGGATGGATGTTGGTGAGGATGGAGGCTCTGGCTTCAGCTCTGGCCTTCAGTGGGTGCAGAGGAAACATGAAATTAAAAATAATCCGCTTTCCACCATTAGTGGGGAGCTTAATTCAAAGACACAAAGCAGCTGAGACAGAAGAATCTCATGTCCCACCACTGGAATTCTTTATTTACTCTGAGGGTGGTGAGGCTTGCTCAGAAGAAGCTTTAGGGACTTTGGTTCACAGAATCCCAGAATTTTTTAGGTTGGAAAAGACCTCCAGCCTCATCAAATCCAACTTGTGCCCACCTTGTCACCAGCCCAGAGCACTGAGTGCCACCTCCAGGGATGGAGGCTCTGGCTTCAGCTCTGGCCTTCAGTGGGTGCAGAGGAAACATGAAATTAAAAATAATCCGCTTTCCACCATTAGTGGGGAGCTTAATTCAAAGACACAAAGCAGCTGAAACAGAAGGATCTCATGTCCCACCACTGGAATTCTTTATTTACTCTGAGGGTGGTGAGGCTTGCTCAGAAGAAGCTTTAGGGACTTTGTTTTACAGAGTCCCAGAATTTTTGAGGTTGGAAAAGACCTCCAGCCTCATCAAATCCAACTTGTGCCCACCTTGTCACCAGCCCAGAGCACTGAGTGCCACCTCCAGGGCTGGGGACTCCAGACCTCCCTGGGCAGCCCCTTCCAGAGTTTAACAACCCTTTCAGTCCAGGAATTCCTTCTGATGTCCAACCTGAACCTCCCCTGGCAAAACCTGAGGCTGTTTCCTCTCATCCTGTCACTGATTCTTGGGAAAATCTCTGTGAGGAGGGAGACCTTGGAGGCATCCATGTCCCTTGTGTGCCTCCTCACAGGAGCCTTTTCCTGCCCTCCCACCCCTGGAGGCTTGGACACTGAGCTGATCCTACACAATTTGGGTTTTCCCTGGGGAGAGAGGCGGGGGGGGGAAACACACAAAACCTGAGCGTCCCTGGTTGTATTTTAGGGAAACTGGAGGAAATCCGGGATCAGGAGCGGAAAGAGGACACCTTCACTCCAATGCCCAGCCCCTACTACATGGAGCTCACCAAGCTGCTGCTGAACTAGTGAGTAGGAGCTGAGCTGGGCCATTTTCCACCCCACTTGGTGTGAGCACGGACGATTTTTCAAGCTTTGCTTGGCAGCAGCCCCGCAGGGCGGTGGGGAAAGGGAGAGTTGAGGGAGCTTTATCCCTCAGCCTGCCAAGATTTCGCAGCAGCACTTCCCTCGTGGTAACTCTGCCTCTCAGGAGCTTGGGGATGGCTCGTTCTGTGGCCTCATAATTGGGGCTGTGCTGCTTTATTGAGCAGCAGCTCGGCGTGGAGGCCCGGAGGAGCCGCAACACGTTCCACGGCTGCAATCTGTTCAGCAGCCTCCAGCCTCCAGGCTTCTTCCTTGGCTCTCCTTCAGGAGGAAAGCTCCTCTTCCCTCAGCCTGGGAAGCAGGAGGCCGGGGATATTCCGAGCCTGAGCTCCTGCCTGCTGAGGCATTTCACTTGTAAAATCTGCTGGCTGGTATTTGTCTCAGCGAGGGCTCTGCTGACTTTTTAAGCCCTCGATTAAGCAGGGTGGGCATTCCAGCTCTGGTTTTTCCCTCTGGAGAGGAGGCTCCTGGCGTGCTGCTCCTTCCCAGCACGCTCCAGCAGCCCTGACAGCTCTGTCCCTGCGCATCCATCGCCTCTCCCAGCTCCTTATGGCAGCGCTGAGTGGCTTTAATGGGGTGATGTGGCACATCCCAGCCCTGACAGCTCTGTCCCTGCGCATCCATTGCCTCTCCCAGCTCCTTATGGCAGCGCTGAGTGGCTTGAATGGGGTGATGTGGCACATCCCATGTGGCCCTTCCAGCTTAATTCTCCCTGATGGAGCCCCGGGAGCCCCGAGCTGGGGATTTCATCGTGCCTGAGCCCTTGGATTCCCCAGCTGGCTGTGACTTTGGCCAGGTTTGGGGCCCTCTGTGCGCCTCATACCAGCTGGGCAATTAAAGAGCAGAAGGATTCTAGTGACAGCCAGCTGCTGCATTGGAGCTGAGCATTCCTGGAGGAAGAACCCATCCCAGAAATGCCAGCAGGACAAGGAGCAGAGAGGATTTTCGCGTGGCGTCGCGGGCTTTTAGCAAACCGTCCTGCGAGCGCCAGGGTGGGTGTCACCCCTCGGTGACACCACCACACAGCCCTGAGAGCCTGCCCTGACCCTGCCCTCCCTCTCCCTGTCCCAGTGCCTCTGACAACATCCCGAGGGCGGACGAGATCCGGACGCTGGTGAAGGACACGTGGGACACGCGCATGGCCAAGCTGCGCCTGTCTGCCGACAGCTTCGTGCGGCAGCAGGAGGCTCACGCCAAGGTGGGCCAGCCCCCCATCCCGGGAGGGATCCGGGGGGACAGGGGTGAGCTGCTGGGAAAAGCGTGGCTCGTGGGTGTGTTACTGAGGAGCTGGAGTTGGGTGTTGAGCCTTGTGCCTTGTGGGAAGCGGAGGAGTCATGGAATGGTTTGGGTTGGCTCTTGGAGATCTTGTTCTATCCCTTTTCATACTTTCCACTAGACCAGGCAGCTGTAAGCCCCATCCAGCTTGTGCTTGAACACTTCCAGGCATGGGGAGTGCTCTTGAAATGGTGCTCGGGTGCTTCTCTTGCCCAGGGCTGGCAGCTGGGTCAGTCCCTTGTGGTGTCACCAAGGGGAACTGTGGGCTGTGAGCTGCTTCCCGAGTACCTTTTCTTCCCAGATCCTGTTCTTTCCCCTTTTAGCTGGATAACTTAACCCTGATGGAGATCAACACCACTGGGACTTTCCTCACCCAGGCCTTGGACCACATGTACAAGCTCCGGACTAACCTCCAGCCTGGCGAGAGCTCCCACTCCCAGGAGTTCTGACGGGGAGCTGGGAAGGAGCTGGGAAGGAGCTGCTCCTGTGGGCAGCCCCACCTCCCTCAGGGACCTGCCCGCCCTTACAGCTCCCCTCAGGCCCGGCTGGGGGTTGCTCTAGAGCTGCTGGAGCATCCCCAGAGCCTCAGGGCAGGGTTTTTTGCCCTCCCTCCCCCATAACCTCCAGCCTGGCGAGAGCTCCCACTCCCAGGAGTTCTGACGGGGAGCTGGGAAGGAGCTGGGAAGGAGCTGCTCCTGTGGGCAGCCCCACCTCCCTCAGGGACCTGCCCGCCCTTACAGCTCCCCTCAGGCCCGGCTGGGGGTTGCTCTAGAGCTGCTAGAGCATCCCCAGAGCGTCAGGGCAGGGGTTTTTTTGGCCCTCCCTTCCCCCTGGGTTTTTTTTTACTCTCCCTCCTGGGGTTGTCCCCACCCTTCCTTGGGGCACTTTTGCCCCTAACCTCCCCACCTTTTTGTCATCCCCCAAAACCAACACCAGATCCCCCCAAAACGCGACTTTATTCAGAGCCCGGCCCTGTCCATGTCTCCTTCCCTATTTACAGCTCTGGGATGTGGCACTGAGGGTGACACAGGGTGAGCTTGGGGACATCAGCGCTGTGTCACTCTGTCCTGTCCGTGTGTCTTCCCCCATGGAGTCACCATGTCCTGTCATGTCCCAGTCCAGGTGCCCCCCAGCTTGGTGTCACCACATCCCCTCACCTGTGGCACGACTCATGTGACCCCAGCTGTGTCACCACATCCTGCCCATTAAACACTCCATGTGTCCCCTGGCATGGTGGCACCTTGTCCCCTGTTTGTGGCACAGTCCCTGCGTCCCCCAAGAGGGTGGCCCACTGTCCTTGTGTCCCCACGTTGTGGTGCCACTGTCCCCATGTCCCCTCGGGGCACAAAGAGAGGGCAGTGCCATTGTCCCCATGTCCCCTCAGGGCACAAAGAGAGGGAGATGCCTGTCCCCGTGTCCCCTCAGGGCACGAAGAGAGGGAGATGCCTGTCCCCATGTCCCCTCAGGGCACAAAGAGCGGGCAGTGCCACTGTCCCCATGTCCCCTCGGGGCACAAAGAGAGGGCAGTGCCATTGTCCCCATGTCCCCTCAGGGCACAAAGAGCGGGCAGTGCCACTGTCCCCATGTCCCCTCGGGGCACAAAGAGAGGGCAGTGCCATTGTCCCCATGTCCCCTCAGGGCACAAAGAGCGGGCAGTGCCACTGTCCCCATGTCCCCACGGGGCACGAAGAGAGGGCAGTGCCTCTGTCCCTGTGTCCCCTCAGGGCATGAAGAGAGGGAGATGCCTGTCCCCATGTCCCCTCAGGGCACAAAGAGCCAGCAGTGCCACTGTCCCCATGTCCCCTCAGGGCATGAAGAGAGGGAGATGCCTGTCCCCATGTCCCCTCGGGGCACAAAGAGCCAGCAGTGCCACTGTCCCTATGTCCCCTTAGGGCATGAGGAGCAGGGCAGTGCCGCGGTCCCCGTGTCCTCTCAGGGCATGAAGAGAGGGAGAGGCCTGTCCCCATGTCCCCTCGGGACACAAAGAGCCAGCAGTGCCACTGTCCCTATGTCCCCTTAGGGCATGAGGAGCAGGGCAGTGCCGCGGTCCCCGTGTCCTCTCAGGGCATGAAGAGAGGGCAGAGCCACTGTCCCCATGTCCCCTCGGCGCTCCCGGAGCAGCTCTTGCCGCGGCTGTGCCGCTTCTCCCCGGTGACTCTGGGCGGATCTCTCGGGTTGTACTTCAGCGAGGGAACTTCTGAGGGCAGCACAGGCCACACACTGCCTTGAAAGCCATAAATTTTGAGGCGGTGCTTCCATGGATTTTCTCAGAGCCTTGGGGAAAAAATAAAAAAAAAAAGAAAAAAGAGAAAGAAGGGAAGATGTGCCGGCAATGAGGTGTCTGCTGGGGAGATCAGCTGGGAAGCAGATCCATCTGCTCTTTGGAGAAGGACAAAAGAAAATGGTTTTCCCTCTCAGATGCCAGGCTGTGGGGAAATACCAGAATATCAACCATCTTTATTTTTGTAATATTTGGGGTTTTAATCTGAAGCTGTCTGTAAAAAAAAAATAAAAATAAAGATAATAAAAAAATTGCAGCTGAAGAACGGCATCAGATTAATCCTGGGCTGTGTCATAAACAATGCTTGGAAAATCCTGCAGCTCTCCTTTGGCTCCGGCCCCGTTTCCCTGCGGCAGAGCGACAGGCAAGGGCAGGATCCAGGCGGGATCCAGGGTGGGATTCAGGGCAGGATCCAGACAGGATTTAGGGCAGGATCCAAGGCAGAATTCAGGCAGAATCCGGCAGGATCTAGGGCAGGATTCAGGCAGGATCTGGGGCAGGATCCAGACAGGATCTGGGGCAGGATCCAGACAGGATCTGGGGCAGGATCCAGGCAGGATCTGGGGCAGGATCCAGGCAGGATCTGGGGCAGCATTCGGGCAGGATCTGGGGCAGGATCCAGACGGGATCTGGGGCAGGATCCAGGCAGGATCTGGCGCAGGATTCAGACAGGATCTAGGGCAGGATTCAGAGCAGAATCCTGATGGGATTCAGGACACGATTCAGGCAGGATCTGGGGCAGAATCCTGGCGAGATGCAGGGCAGGATCCAGGCAGGATTCAGGTGGGATCCAGAGCAGGATCCAGGCAGGATCTGGCGCAGGATTCAGACAGGATCTAGGGCAGGATTCAGAGCAGAATCCTGATGGGATTCAGGACACGATTCAGGCAGGATCCAGGCAGAATCCTGGTGAGATGCAGGGCAGGATCTGGGGCAGAATCCAGACAGGATCCAGGCAGGATCTGGGGCAGAATCCAGACAGGATCCAGGCAGGATCTGCAGCAGGATTCAGGCGGGATTCAGAGCAGGATCCAGGCAGGATTCAGGACAGAATCCAAGCAGGATCCTGGTGGGGATTCAGGGCAGGATCCAGATAGGATCTGGGGCAGAATCCTGGCAAGATCTAGGCAGGATCCAGGCAGAATCCAGACAGGATCTGGGCAGGATCCAGGCAGAATCCAGACAGGATCTGGGGCAGAATCCTGGCAAGATCTAGGGCAGGATCAGGCAGAATCCAGACAGGTTCCAGGCAGTATCCAGCAGGATTCAGGGCAGGATCAAGGTGGGATCCAGACAGGATCTGGGGCAGAATCCTGGCAAGATCTAGGCAGGATCCAGGCAGAATCCAGACAGGATCTGGGCAGGATCAAGGCCAGAATCCTGGCAAGATCTAGGCAGAATCCTGGCAAGATCTAGGGCAGGATCCAGGCAGGATCCAGCAGGATCCGGGCGGGCTGTGGCCGGAGCAGGGCTGTGCTGCTGGCAGCTGTCATTATTCCCGGTGCCCGAGGGTGCCAGGCTGCCGGCGCTGCCCTTCCCCGAGCATCTGGGCCGGGCTCCCGCTGCCATCTGTGCCCTGCCTGCCCGGGCTGTGCCCCGCGGGGCTGGCACCGCGGGAGGATGGCAGGAATGACGGCAGGAGCTGCCGGGAATGCTCGGAGCAGGGCTGCGTTCCCCAGGGAGAAAGGATTCCTTGCCGTCGTTGTGGAAGAGTTTATTTGGGGGTTTTTTTTTTGGGGGATGTTTTCAGGAATTACAGCAATATATTCATAAATACCTAATTACTACATTCAACAAATAATATATTACATTACAATTAATTCCAACAAGGTACACTTTGAACATGTTTAGGGTTGGGTTTTTGTCCTTTTTTGGGGTTTTGTTTTGTTTTTCACAGCAACCAACCTGCCCCCAGCAGGCTCTGCCTTCCTCCCAGCCCTTCCAGGCTCTGGCACAGCTGCTCCAGCAATTCTGCACGGACACAAATGCTCACCACAACCCCAGCGTGGGGGAAAAATTGGCCCAAAAACCCTGAATCCAGGCTGGTGAGGAGGGAAAGTCAGCACAGGAGCTGCTACAAAGCGAGGCTGCATCCCAGCCAGGCTCCTCAGCACGGCGAGGGACAAATTGCCAATAATTTCCCATCCCTGGTTTCTTCCCCCTCCCTCTGCCACGGCACACAGGAAGGGAAAGGAGCAGAGCAACGAGCGAATTTTGCCGTGTTAAAATTCCCTTCGAAGCCCGGAGTTGGCAGCGGCGAGGCCAGAGGCTGGCGAGGCAATTGGGGATTTAAAAAAGATTAAACTAATTTCTGTCACAAGGGCATTTTTGCTTTTTAATCTCGCCCAGCTTTTTTTGATTTGGTGAAGCCAATGAGAGAGCAGGGAGCAGGGGGGGGGCGTGGGGGGGGTTAATGCTTTTCTTTGCCAGTGCAACGAGGGAATTTAAAGCAGGAAGCAGAGGTCACCTTTTCCCGGAGATGTGAGCTGGTCTCGTGGCGAATTAAAAACAATTTCTAATAAATAATTTAAAAATAACAATCAAATAAAAAAGGCTCCCCCGGGGGGGGCGGGGCACGCTCTGGCCAAAAACCCTGAATCCAGGCTGGTGAGGAGGGAAAGTCAGCACAGGAGCTGCTACAAAGCGAGGCTGCATCCCAGCCAGGCTCCTCAGCACGGCGAGGGACAAATTGCCAATAATTTCCCATCCCTGGTTTCTTCCCCCTCCCTCTGCCACGGCACACAGGAAGGGAAAGGAGCAGAGCAACGAGCGAATTTTGCCGTGTTAAAATTCCCTTCGAAGCCCGGAGTTGGCAGCGGCGAGGCCAGAGGCTGGCGAGGCAATTGGGGATTTAAAAAAGATTAAACTAATTTCTGTCACAAGGGCATTTTTGCTTTTTAATCTCGCCCAGCTTTTTTTGATTTGGTGAAGCCAATGAGAGAGCAGGGAGCAGGGGGGGGGCGTGGGGGGGGTTAATGCTTTTCTTTGCCAGTGCAACGAGGGAATTTAAAGCAGGAAGCAGAGGTCACCTTTTCCCGGAGATGTGAGCTGGTCTCGTGGCGAATTAAAAACAATTTCTAATAAATAATTTAAAAATAACAATCAAATAAAAAAGGCTCCCCCGGGGGGGGCGGGGCACGCTCTGGTTTTGAGCGAGTGGCTGAAAATGGCACCAAGCCTGACCCTGGTGGCACCAGGACATCCCTGCCCGCCTGCGGGCACGGCTCCACGTGGATTGTCCCCAAAGTGCCACCAAGAGACCCCACAGGACCCACTCCCCCTGTGCCCAAACTGCCTTAGAGCCGCTCTGATTGTCTGGGGATTTTTTTG